CACTGCTGGCGGTTGGTGGGTTTGGACAGAAGGTAGGAAGATTCGACTCCTGACATCAAGAGGGAACTTCATAGAGGCTTCTGGGCCTGAATTCTTGAATTCTTGCTGAGATGGGGCTTTGAGGAACCCCGATGAAGAGATCAACCCCGCTCTCTCTGCTCCCACTGAGCTCTTCAATCAGCACTGAGGCACTTTGGCCAATGAGCAACCCGGTACGGATCTCCACAAGGGAAAACCGTGTCCCCAGAGGGCTCCCTGAGAGGGAGAGGAGAGCGTCATGAAAAAGGCCAGGTCAGGCCAGCCGGTGTGGCTCAGTGGTTGAGCATCAACCTATGAACCATGAGGTCACGGTTCGATTCCTGGTTGGGGCACATGCCTGGGTTGTGGGCTCCATCCCCAGCGTGGGGCGTGCATTGATGAGTCCCTCTCATCTTTGATGTTCCTCTCTCTCTCTCTCTCTCTCTCTCTCTCTCTCTCTCTCTCTCCTCCCACTCTGAAATCAGTACAAATATATTTGAAATAAAAAAGGAAAAAGGCCAGATCACGGCAGAGGCAGAGGGTCCATCTCACCAGCATTTGTAGCTGCTGTAGTGCTGGCCACCAAAGCGGGGTTCCCTTCGGCGGTGACCCTAGCTGCCTCCCTTCCGGGCGCCTCTCGCTCCCATGCCTGCACCTGTCCCTGGTAGAGGCCTGCAGCCCCCCGATCCTGGGGCGCACCTTCCCTACGCGGTCGAGGCTGCCTGCCAAGGGGGAGCAACCCTTGTACCCAGGACCTCTCGCCTCCTGCGCACACCCTCCTCGCCCCTCTGGTTTCCTCCCAGGCCTGCAGGCCCGCTGCTCTCTCACTGGCCCTTGTCTCCTCTTCTTAGTCTGTTCGCCAGTCCACGGCACGAGGATATCCCCACTGGGATCCTCTGTGGGTGTTCCTCCGAGAATGGTCCCGAGACACCTGCATCCGAATCACCCCAGGGCACCTGTTAAAAATGCAAACGATGAAGGCTTGGCAGGCATGGCTCAGGGGTTGAGCGTCCACCTATGAACCAGGAGGTCACGGCTCCATTCCGGTCAAGGGCACATGCTGGGGTTGCAGGCTTGATCCCCAGGGGGAGGCATGTAGGAGGCAGCCGATCAATGATTCTCTCTCATCATGGATGTTCCTCTCTCCCTCTCCCTCTCCCTTCCTCTCTGAAATCAATAAAAATATTTCGTAAATAAATAAAAATGACTGTCAGATTACATGAACGTGAGGCACCTGTAGAGCGAGGGAAACAGTTAAAAACCTGGAAACTCTTCGTTCTGTGGCCTCCATGTCCCTTTAAGACTCCTCTCGACTTGAAAGGATTCTAAGCTGGGAATCTGGGGGTAAGGCCATCGCCACAGGTGTGGCTCCTCCAAGAATCATGATTTGGGGTGTCGGTCGGGCACCGTCTTCAAAGCAGTGGTCTCGGCCTTAAATCAGCTTCTTGGTTGAAGGTCAAGTGAACTGTGTCAGGTCTGAGTAGGTCCCTCTGTGTGACTCCCACGCACGTCCGTGGACCTTCACAGTCCTACATGCCTGTCTCACTCCCACTGGGAGGGAAGTGCTCCCGGCACGCGGCACTGGCTAAATGTTAGTCCCTTCTCCCGCCCTCACCGCCACCCCCTCTGCTTTGGAAGTTTCACTTGGTTTCACACCCAAATGCCATCTCTGTTCTGTGACATTCCACCAGCAAACACCCCCTGCTGGGTGCCTTCAGGTCCCCCCCAAACCACTGCCCTTTGTGGAGAACATTTGAGGTCCAGGACATTTGCAGTTTACACATTGCAGAAGCCTCACCCCCCACTGGGCAGACTCCAGGGAGGCCAGGGGGAGGCAGGGTGCGGAGATCGCTCACGCACAGTCCTCCGTTTCTCACGGAAATACCACCCCTCTAGCACCTGGCCCTCACACAGCACTAAGGACCAGGGAGGGTCCTGTGACCATGTGGGTCGAGCTCCCGGCGCCTTTCCGAGCTGGGTCAGTGATGTTCTTTTCCACTCAGAAGCTCAGGCAGTGAGAGGAACACACAGGAGTTAATGGACTTGCTTAAGCCAGCGCCATAGGTTAGTAGAGGAGATGGGTGAGTGAGGCGCCCAGTGGCTGAGGTTGCCGGCTGTCTGCTTGGGCCTGTTTTTATTATTATTATTATTATTATTATTATTATTATCATTGGTTCCCTTCCTGTGTGTTTGCTGACCACAATGATACCTTTCTATACAATGTGTGCATGGCCCAGCCGGTGTGGCTCAGTGGTTGAGTGTCCACCTACGAACCAGGAGGTCACTGTTCGATTCCCAGTCAGGGCACAGGCCCGGGTTGTGGGCTCCATCCCCAGTAGGGAGCGTGCAGGAGGCAGTTGATCCATGATTCTCTCTCATCATGGATGTTTCTCTCCCTTCCTCCCTCTCCCCGCCGCTCTGAAATCAATAAAAATACATTTTTAAAAAAATTAGCCTGCTACCTCTGGGCAAACGTTTCATTAACCCACCAATTCCTCGAAGGCCTTGGCAGGGCCTTACACAACCGGACCCGCTGGCCTGATGTCCCCCACCCTGCTTTCGCGTGACACAGGAACACTTCCTCCCACACCTTTCCACGAGGGATGACTGGTCACTTTCTAGGTCCAGTTGGGGTGTGTGTGTGTGTGTGTGTGTGCGTGTGCGTGCGCTTGTGCGTGTGCATGTGTGTGCGTGCACACTCGAATCCATTCCAGAGGAACTGGACGAACCAGGTGCTGTCCTGTGTGCACCTGGCCCTGGGATTCAGCCAGGTGGGCTCACTGAGGCGCATTCACGGCCATCTTCTCAGATGTGAGTGACAGTGGGGCTGGCGTGGAAAACGGGGAGCCCTACGTGCATTCAGAGAAGCTCCTGCGAGCCGAGAGACCCAGTTTCCCTCCTGGAGCCGTTCATTAACGAGCCCGCCTCTCCCCCGATCCCTCACTCCCATGATTACGTCTCTCGCTTGTCATGCTGTGCGGTTCCCCGACTGACAGCGCACATGCCGATTGGAGAGGGCGCCTGTGCCCCGGGATGCTAACACCTGCTCCTGCGGAGACGCGCCCTTTGCCGGGAAGCGTATCCCAGCCCGGAGCGCGAGGAGCAGCTGTCTGGAGAGGTGCCAGCGAGGGACCCGCCGGCGCTGACATTCCTTGCAGCCGATGGAGATGAGTGTGGTGCGCACTTGGCAGGCCAAGTGGTTGTGAAATGAGAAGGCCCGAAGCATCGTAGGGAAATGGAGAGGCCCCTACCCAGCTCGGCCGACGGCCTGCTCCCCTCCATCCCGCTGATGGATGCTAGAGGCTTGTCACTGTATCAACAGCTCTTTGCAAACAAGGCTCCTGGCTCGAGCGCTGTGGCCAAAAGGGATGCGCTGTTTTCTCATCGCGCCTTTTCTCTTTGCGGCACCACAACCGCTAAGGTAAATGTCTCCTTCCCCCCCCCCCCCCCCCCCCCCCCGTGAAGGAACAAAATAGAGTTGAGCCCTAGCTGGTATGGCTCAGTGGATAGGGCGTCAGCCTGCGGACGGAAGGGTCCCCAGTTGCCGGCTCGATCCCCAATGTGGGGCGTGCAGGAGGCAGCCGATCCATGATTCTCTCTCTTCATGGATGGTCCCATCTCTCTCTCCCTCTCTGAAATCAATTTTAAAAATATTTTTGCCGAAACCGGATTGGCTCAGTGGATAGAGAGTCAGCCTGTGGACTGAAAGGTCCCAGGTTCGATTCCGGTCAAGGGCATGTACCTGGGTGGCAGGCACATCCCCAGTAGATGTGCCGGAGGCAGCTGATCGATGTTTCTCTCTCATCGATGTTTCTAGCTCTCTATCTCTCTCCCTTCCTCTCTGTAAAAAAATCAATAAAATATATTTTAAAAAAATATGTATTTTAAAAAAATAAGAGTTGAAAACTATTCTTTCCTGAGGAAGGTTTGGAGTTCCAGCAGCGATGGCGGTGAGGAAGCCGGGCCGGCCCTGCTCGGGTGCGGGCGGGCACACGGCAGGGAGGACACGGGGTGCGCACCCTCGTTCCTCCTTCCCTTCCTCTCGGGGCGCAGGTAAAGGCATCTGATTTGAGCTCCCCGTTCAAAGCAGCCCTGGGCCCTGAGTGTGGCCCTGCAGTGCCACCATCAGGGCACCTGGGGGACTGCTCCGTGCTTGTCTGTGCCCCAGGGACATTCCAAAAGCTGGGGAGAGGGGTCCCGGCCAGACTCCCGCCTTCCTGAACTCCTGGCAGAGGAAACACTCACAGGATCTCAGGAGGCGTCTGAGAGCAGTGGCCCTCCTGTCTGAGCACGGGACCCGAGAGCTAAACCAAAGAGACGACCTGGATTCCAGCTCTGTCCACACCTGTGTCCTTGAAAAGGTCGCCTGCTGCTCCAATGCACCATCCCCACAGCATAACCAACGGACATAGACAACTGGTGGTGAGGGCACGTGCTGGGGGGTGGGAGCGGCCGGGGAGAGGTCCATGGGGGGGAAAGGAGACTTTATGTAATACTTTGAACAACAGAGAATTTAAATTAAAAAACAGATTAAGAATAAAATGAAGAAAAAAAGCACAAATACATTTTTATTGATTTCAGAGAGGAAGGGAGAGGGAGAGAGATAGAAACATCAATGATGAGAGAGAATCATGGATCGGCTGCCTCCTGCAGGCCCCCTCACTGGGGATCAAGCCCAGAAGCCCATTTTCCTGACCCAGCATCGAACCCTGACCTCAAGGTCGATGCTTGTCCACTGAGCCACGCTGGCCGGTGAGGCAGAGATATTTTTTGTTAAATATATGTTATTGATTTTTTACAGAGAGGAAGGGAGAGGGATAGTTAGAAACATCGATGAGAGAGAAACATCGATCAGCTGCCTCCTGCGCACTCCGTACTGGGGATGTGCCCGCAACCAAGGCACATGCCCTTGACCGGAATCGAACCCGGGACCCTTCAGTCCGCAGGCCGACGCTCTATCCACTGAGCCAAACCAGCTAGGGCAGAGGCAGAGATATTTTAATAGGACTTTAATTACAAGTTCTACACAGTTCTTGGTGGGGAGAAGGGACCGAGCGAGGCAAGAACCACACCTGGAATGGCGACGAGAGGCTGGGCAATTGTTTACTGAGTCCGCCCAGTTCTAAGGCGTGTTTTCAGGACGCTATTGCAGTACTTACTGCATGAAAAGGTATGTGTGAAAAACATGGCTGTCAAATACAATGCACATATTAAATAATCCACGTATTTCCCACTGGACATCGAAGCCTTTCATTCGCCAGGTCTTCCTGCTACCGCCTCTCCCCGCGTGTCCTTAGACGGCGCACCACCCCTCGCCGCGTGTCCTTAGACGGCACACCGCCCCTCGCCGCGTGTCCTTAGACGGCGCACCGCCTCTCGCCGCGTGTTCCTTAGACGGCGCACCGCCTCTCCCCGCGTGTCCTTAGACGGCGCACCGCCTCTCCCCGCGTGTTCCTTAGACGGCGCACCGCCCCTCGCCGCGTGTCCTTAGACGGCGCACCGCCCCTCACCGCGTGTCCTTAGACAGTGCACCGCCTCTCGCCGCGTGTTCCTTAGACGGCGCACCGCCTCTCCCCGCGTGTTCCTTAGACGGCGCACCGCCTCTCCCCGCGTGTCCTTAGACGGTGCACCGCCCCTCGCCGCGTGTCCTTAGACGGTGCACCGCCTCTCCCTGCGTGTCCTTAGACGGCGTACCGCCTCTCGCCCTCGTGCTTCGCCCGGTGGTACTTGACGTAGTCGTTGTGCAGCTCCTTGAAGACATCCCGCACTCCCGGCGGCAGCGAGGCGCGCAGGAACTGCACGTCGGGCTCGATGCAGAGGTCCAGGATGAGGTAGATGCCCTCCTGCAGGTGGCCCTTCACGGCCGGGTACAAGGTGACCTGGGAAAGGACACACCCCGTGAGCGAAGGCAGGCCCGGCGAGGAATTCCCACGTCTGCCTCCAACTTGAGAAAGACGCTCCTTGTAAAACACCGTTTTGCACACAGCTGACATAGCTGCACAAGCCCATCTCGAAAGTTTATCGTTTGGGGAAACAGAAGCCAACTCAAGTGCACAAAAGCCTGGAATGAAGCGTCACAGGGGGCAGCTGCAAGTAAATAAACACACGAGGCCTATGTGTTTACAGGGGCAGTGACATTTGGACTCTGGCCCTAGCTGGTGTGGCCCAGGGGCTAGAGCATCGGCCTGGGGACTGCAGGGTCTCAGGTTCAATTCCAGTCAAGGGCACATGCCCCCGGGTTGTGGGCTCGATCCCCACTAGGGGGCGTGCAGGAGGCAGCCGATCCATGATTCTCTCTCATCGTTCAAGTTCCCCCCCCCCCCGCTCTCTGAAATCAATAAAAGGCGGGGAGCCGGCTTACCTTCTGCACCTCCGTCACGTACTGGGCCACCATGAAGGGGGAGAACACGGTGAAGTCCTCGGCCCGGGCGGCGATGTGGCTGTACATCCTCTCCACCAGGCGGGCGCACGCCAGCACCCCGGCCAGGTCCTCCGCGCCACCTGCATGGCAAAGCGTGTCCGAACCCGTCAGCCCCCCGCGTGTGCGCTCCCCCCTCCTCATCTCACAGCGCCCCTCCCTCCCACTCTCTAATCAGCTCATTCTGCAGACAGGACAGAGGGTTGCGGGGGGGGGGGGGGGGTGACGAGGGGGGCGGGGACGGGGACACGTATGTCCAAACATTTCGCTACGTAACGAAGGGAAGGACCGTTAGAATACCAGGAGCCCGTGGCTGTTTCCTGAGGCTCCGAGAATAATCAGGACTTTCAGGCTGAAGTCGGGGATGGCTGTTGTATTTTAAAAGGAGACGGATCTCTACCAGGAAGGCTTAAAACGGGGACAATGGGAAATTTTTTTAAAGCGCTCCTTGACATGTGATTTTTAAAGATAAGAGGGGCTCAGTCGCGTCACTGCCTCCTTACACAGTTTCAGAAATTGTGCGGGGTTTTGCTCTTACAGACAGATACATGCGACCCCATGATTAGTGTCTTCCCAGCTTTCTTCCTTTTTCTTTTTTAAAGAACGGCCTGTTGATTTTGAGAGAGAGAGAGGAAGCCATGGGGTAGCTGAAGTACCTTTATCCTTCTGCCGGCCTTCATGCATCACCGCAAACACCAGCCGGTGGAAGCAGTTCAGGAAGGAGGGGACGGCTTTCAGCATCACCTGGAATAAACACGGGCCAAAGAAAGACAGGAACGTCATCGCTCATTTCCACTTCTCTCTCATTAAAGGGGCTCATCGTCGCCCTGTGAACCGGGAGGTCACGGTCGATTCCCGGTCGGGGCACAGGCCCGGGTTGCGGGCTCCATCCCCAGTGTGGGGCGTGCAGGAGGCAGCCGATCCGTGATTCTCTCTCATCACTGATGCGTCTATCTCTTTCTCTCTCCCTTCCTCGCTGAAATCAATAAAAACACATTAAAAAAAAAAAAAGAAAAAAGGCAAGGCCGCTGGTCCCGGCCCCTCACCTTGGGGTGGCACTGCAGGATGGTGAAGAGCACGCTGTGCACCCGCGGGAAGACGCGCCCGAACTCCGGCGGCTTCAGGCGGTCCAGGGGCACGGCCAGCAGGATGCTGAAGGCCAGGCTGACGTGGTGCGGGTTGCGGATGGCCTCCTCCCCCCGGCGCAGCAGGGCGGCCAGGACGTCCAGGATGGGCTCGACCACCGCCAAGGCCGCGGGCTGCTCCTGACACGCCTCTCGGTTTTGCAGCTACAGGACGAGAGGGAATAGAGGAGCGGTTCTCAACCTGTGGGTCGCGATCCCTTTCGGGGTTGAACGACCCTTTCATAGGGGTCGCCTAAGACCATCGGAAAACAGATCTATAATTACATATTGTTTTTGTGATTCACCACTATGCGTTAATGATGTTCAATGTGTAACAATGAAAATACATCCTGCATATCAGATATTTACATGACGATTCATAACAGTAGCAACATGACAGTTATGAAGTAGCAACGAAAATAATTTCATGGTTGGGGGTCGCCACAACATGAGGAACTGTATTAAAGGGTCGCGGCATCAGGAAGGTTGAGAACCAGTGGAATAGAGGGAAGAAAAGGAAGGTGATTCTAGAAGCAGCAACAACAAAGCCTGAAGCAGGCAGAGGTAAGAACGGAGGTGGCGTAAGTCAGGGTGTCCCAACTCCCAACGGCGTCGATGGGGTCAGTGGGCAGGTGGAAGTGACGAGGACGCTCCGCCCTTGGTCTGGGCGGGAAGAGGGGTGACGGTGGGGGAGGGGAGGGATGTGGGGGAGCCCACACTCACCGTCAGAGCCGTGATGATCTGGGGGCTTGCCCGCCAGAACAGACGCGCCTGCTCCTCGCTGACCGGGCAGCTCAGCAGCAACTTGATCAACGTAACAGCCGACAAAATGGCCTGCGGAGAAAGAGGAGGAACGTGGCAGAGACCGCCCACTCCGAGAGGCCCACCCTGGGACCAAGCGGCCCCCGGCGCCCAATCCACGGGCCGGGCCTGGGTGGGACCTGGCCGGGAGAAGTCCCGGGGCGATGCGCTTCCTGTCACCAAAGGAGGATTGAATGGATACAGCGAGCGGACCTGGGGCACAGCGGAGGTCATGTCAACAGCGTCTCCCGAAACCGACACGTGTATAAGTGTCAGGATGGGGACCTGCAGGGCCGCACACGGGCACAGCCATCTACACGCAGAGGCCCTCTCAAAGCCAGGGCCTGCCCGGCCGGCGTGGCTCAGCGGTTGAGCGTCGACCTATGAACCAGGAGGTCAGGGTTCGATTCCCCGTCAGGGCACAGGCCCGGGTTGCGGGCTCCATCCCTAGTAGGGGGCGTGCAGGAGGCGGCCGATCCATGGTTCTCCCTCCTCATTGGTGTTTCTCTCTCTCCCCCTTCCTCTTTGAAATCAATAAATATACATATATGTAAAAAAAATAAATAAAACTAGGACCCGAACATGCTGCAGACACACACAGCAAAAATGTCCACAGGTGGGCAGTGCCGGGCGACAGAGAGCAGCCCTGGTCCAGCCCGGGCCTCGGGCTCGGGCTCAGGAGATGGGCGTCCTCGCTCTGCCCCACGCTACCCTCAATGATCCACCCCCTCCCCTCCCACCCAAGTCAGAGCCCCATCCCTGTGCTGGTCGTCATCCGGAGTCAGGCTTAGAACCAGAAACCCCGGCCTGGAATCCAGGGCCCTGAAGCAGAGCTGCCTCCATGAACCCCCTCTCCACCTAGAGTCCCCACTGGTTTGCGTTTGGTGTTAGGGGGGACCCGGCACCTTCAGCTTCCCCGTCTGAGCTCCCCGCCCTCATTCACGCGCCTGCCGGGCGAGGGGGAGGGCCACCCACCGGCTGGTCTGCGCTCCACGCGTTCCTGAGGTCCAGCCCCCGGAGCACCCACTGCAGCATCGCCCGGAAGTCCTGGGTCGTCCCGGCCGCCAGCAGGTGGGCGAGCAGGGCTCCCAGGTGAGGCTCGATGGCCTGAACCGCCGGAGCCGGAACGGTGGGGTCTGCGGGGAAGACAAGATGGACAGAGGGAGGGGAGAGACATCAGCGCGGCCGTGAGCTGACAGACACAGTGTGCCGCCAGGGAAGGCCACGCTTAGGGGCCCGGCATTCCCAGCCAGAGGGCTAACCTCTGGACCACACGGACAGCCGACTGTTACTTTATCATTTTCCTACCATCTTTTGTCTCCCCTAGGCGCCCCGACTGGGGCTGGGGATGGAGCCTGCAACCGAGGTTCGTGCCCTGAACCGGGATCGAACCCGGGACCCTTCAGTCCGCAGGCTGACGCTCTACCCACTGAGCACACCGGCCAGGGCCGTTTTTCCCTATTTCCCTTGAATTCTTTTATAAGACCAGCAGGGTCACGGGGGTGGGCGGGTACTTTCAAGCAGACGGCCACGTGGAAGGGATAAGAGCATCATCCCCCCACCTCCGGGGACTGCCTGGGGGAGTCTCTCACTCAATGCCCCCTGGCCCATGGGCTCCTAACAGAACCCCAGGCGAGGACATCCAGGGCCCCTCACCGTCTGACCCCAGCTTGTCTGCCCGGCCCCGTTTCAGCCGTGGGGCCGCTGCACATGGCCAGGGCACCTTCCCGTGCCCCGGTCTTGACTTGCTGCATCCGGCACTGAGGGCGGAGGGACCGAAGGCTGGGAGGTCTGGTCCCAGTTTCCCACAAGCTGTGAGATCCCAGCCTCGGGGCCTCTCTGACCCTCAATCCCCTCCCCAGGGAAATGCCCTGCGGAGTGTCGACCACACGCCAGGCTGGCCCGCCATCCCACTGGCCCCCGGGCCGCCCCAGGCCGCGGAACTCCTGCTCTGCCTGCCTGCCCGCTGGCCGCAGAGTCAGCCCGAGGGGAGCCCCCTTACCTGCGAGAACCCTTCTCACAGACTGAAACACGGCGGTGAAGACAGACTCCCCCTCGGGGTGGAGCTCTGGGGCCGAGAAGAAGAGCGCCAAGAAGCTCACGGCCGCCTGGAAGGCCGGGGCGTCGGTGGCCAGGGCGGGCAGCTCCGCCAGCAGCTGCGAGTACACGCCCCGGTAGAGGTCCGGGTGCGAGAGCCGCGTTCCGTCCGGCGCTGGGGACGCCCCGGGCCCGGGGTGCTGGCCCAGGTCGGCCTCCAGGAGGGCGCTGACCGCGGCGAGGAGGGCGGCGGGCGGGGGGCCGCGGGCCGCCCAGGGCTGGAGCACCGCGCCCGTCCGCAGCACCGCCTGCCGCAGCAGCCCCGGCAGCGCCTCGGGGGCGTCCGGCTGCGGCCTCCGCTCGCGGACCACGGGCCCCAGGACGCGGCACAGGGCGGCCAGCGACGCCAGCAGGAGCTGTCGGCCCAGAGGGCGGGGCTGTTCCCGCTGTCTGCCCGCGGCTGCCTCCGTGTACGCGCTGCACCCCGAGAGGAAGGCGAGGATCTTCCCGAAGTTGAGCACCAGGCTGTGCTTCACCTGCACCAGCATCTGCAGGAGCTGCTCCAGGAAGGTCTCCGCCGCCCGGAGGAACTCCCGCCAGGGCGCGGCGTCCCCGTCCACGCGCAGCCCGCGGCAGGCCCTGAACAGCGAGGTCAGGGCGATCTCGCAGAGGTCGCTGGCGTACATGACCTTGAGCACGGAGCGGCCGCTCTTCCCTCGCTGCAGGCGGCCGAGGAGCCGGTAGCAGGTGGTCAGAAACGTCAGGGCCAGGGCCGGGGAGCAAGAGCCCCCCGGCACGGCGAGGGCCGCGGACAGCAGCAGGAGGAAGTAGTGCGTGTGGCGGGGGGGCGCCAGGCTGTCCAGCTGCAGGGCGGACACGACCTCCAGCAGCCCCAGGAGGCGCCCCAGCGGCTCCTCCTCCAGCCGGATGGGGAAGCCGCCCTGGACCAAGGAGAGCAAGCTCTGGGCGACCTCCCCTCTGGGTTCTGTTCCTTCGGGTCCCACTTTGGCCAATCTGGTTTCCCAAGGGGTCCCGTCCACAGGGTCCTCCTCAAAGAGCCAGGGCAGCTGCTGGCGGAGAGGCCCCGGGTCGCCCCGGGCGCCCGCGCGCAGGACGCTGGCGCAGCCCTCGGCGAGGCTGGTCAGGAAGGCGGCGTACAGGGACGGAAGCTCTGGAAAGAGGGGGCTGCGGACCACGGCCTCGGAGATCTTCCCCAGCGTGACCCGCGGCTCCTCGTCGGCGGGGCCGTCCTGAGCCCCATTCACGGGCAACGTCCTCAGCAGGACGCCGGCCAGGTACCGCACGTCGCCCGGCCCGAGGTAGGGTACTAAGATGGTGAGGTTGGACACCACCAGGTGCCAGTGTGCGACGGGGTACGTGTCCGCGCTCACCGTGCCCACCTGCCCATCCCAGGCAGCCGCCGTCCCCCGGGCCAAGCCCTCCCGGCCGGAACCCAGGATGTAGGTGGCATCGGCCCTCAGGGCCTGGAGGGCCCCTTCGGACTGCGAACCCGTCTGCACTAAAGTCCTCTTCATCTTCTGCAGGTGGAGCTGCTCCAGGCAGTACCTGCCGACGGAGTCGAACCGGGCCGCGGCCTTTTCGATCTTCCTCCAGCTGCGTGCTTCCACGCCCGGGAGCAACGGAGGGAGGCCTGAGCTCTCCAGGGCCTCGGCCGTGAGGGCCCCCGACGACGACGCGGAGCGATACTGGCTGCAGTGCAGGCCGAACGTGGCGTCCACCTGGGCCCAGGTGTGCGCGAGCAGCAGCGCGGCATCGCCGACCTTCTGCAGCCACAGCTCCGGCCCCGGGCCCGGGGGCGCCAGCAGGAGGCCCAGCAGGGGCTGCACGAGCTCCCGGAGCATCCGCTCCATGGTGGCCCGCGTCCGCCGGACCACGGGCAGGGGCGTGCCGCCGTCCGGGCACCGCGTGTGGGCCATGACGCAGTGCAGCAGCGCGCTCAGGGACAGCGCCTTCAGGGCCATGTCCACGTCGCCCCGCAGGCAGGGCAGGACGGCGGCCCCGAACTTGTCCAGCACCAGGGCCCATGTGTCCAGGATCTGATTCGGGGGCAGGTCCAGGAGGCCCTCGCGGAGGGCCGAGGAGGGGCCCGCGGCCAGCACCGGCGGCCTCAGTGCCTCGGCGGCCGGCCGGCAGATCACCCCCAGCACCTCCTCCAACAGCCGCGGCACCTGCCGGAGCTTGACGTACGTCTGGAAGAGCGTGTGCACCAGGGCCTCCTGGGCCTTTCTGGTCCGGAGCTCGGTCACATCGGCGTCGATCCACGCCGAGGCCAGCAGGTCGTCCAGGTCGGGCTCCAGGATCAGATGGTTCAGCGACAGCAGCGCCCGCAGGCAGCGGAACCAGGCCGGCACGGAGGCCTGCGGGTGGCTGACCAGCAGCTCGGCCAGGCGGCGGTAGAAGCGGAACTGGGCCTCCCCGTGGCGGATCCTGTCGGCCGCGATGTTGTAGATGTTGTTGTTGGCCACGGAGGCCAGCAGCTGCTCCACGACCAGGAGCTCCGTGGTCCAATCGGACGTGGACAGGGCTGGCCCCGGCCCCTCCTGCAGGCGTGCCACCCTCAGGCAGCCGAACAGCCGGGGCAGCGCCTGGAAGCACAGGACCTGGGTCCCCTCCTTGAGGTACGAGTCGAGGAAGAGCTTGTACAGCAGGGCCACCGAGCTGGCCACGACGGCGGCGTGGAGGGGCGGCTCGCAGTAGCCGGCGTCCGCCAGCCGGGCGATCACGGTGGCCGTGGGAGCCAGCAGGTTCTTCATGGCGCCCATCTTGGTGTCCTCCGGCGGCTGGTCCAAGAGCTCCTCTTTGTAGGACGAGAGCAGCTCGGGCTGGAAGGCACCGCCGCGCAGCACGGCCTCCAGCTGGCTCCGGAGGTCCCGGCTCAGGGCCGGCCGCAGCTGGCCCGGGCCGGCCTGCGCCCACGTGCCCCCCGAGAGCAGGTGCCTGAGGACCAGGCAGGGCTGGAGCAGGTGGCCGGTCACCTCCCCGAAGGCCCGCCTGGGGTTGACCTGCTGCTGCTGGACCGAGAGGTAATGGCCCAGGGCCAGGTGAGTGACCTCGAACAGCAGGGCCGGCGCCGCGGAGGCCTCCGGCTGCCGGCAGGCCGCCCGGCACAGCTGGCTCAGCAGGGCCACCAGCAGCTCCTGCCGGGCCGTGTAGATGACCGCGAGGGCCGGCGTGGACAGGACGCCCTGGCAGCAGCTGAGCACGGCACCGACGTGCCTCTGGGATCCCGACAGGGAGAACTCGGCGATTCTCTCGTTGATGACCTGAGCGTTAGGAGAGAAAGGAAGAAAGCTCATGACCGACCCTAAACCCACACACACACGCCCAAAATACAACAGAATCAAGCCACTCACTCCTTACCTCATCTTGATTTAAATAAAACTAAAAAACTAAAAAAAGGAATGCCAGTACTCGGCCTTCCTGGCTTAGTGGTTGAGCATCGACCTAGGAACCAAGAGGCCACGGTTCGATTCCCGGTCAGGGCACAGGCCCGGGTTGCGGGCTCCATCCCCAGTGTGGGGCGTGCAGGAGGCAGCCGATCAGTGATTCTCATCATTGATATTTCTCTCTCTCTCTCACTGTCTCTCCCTTCCTCTCTGAAATCAATACAAGATATTTTTAAAAATAAATAACAGAATAAAAATTTTAAAAAGTGACACACAATTTAGAACATACTTTCAAGAACCACTAGAGCCTATACGGCTTCAGGCAGTTCAACCTGTTAACCCTTCCTCTGGCCGCCTCCCCTGCTCTTCTCCCTCTTCCTGCATGCACGTGGGCGAGGCAGTGTGGGGCGAACAGCACCAGCCTGGCAGTCAGGCAGGCCTGGGCCACTGCCTCGCTGTGTGGCTTTCAGCAAGTCACTTAACCTCTCTGAGCCTGGCACACAGAAAGCGCTCCTTATCAGTGCTTTCTATGGTCACCAGCTATTCCCAGCGTCTTTGCAAATACTCCCGTTTTGACAATGAAGCTCATAATTCTGATCTGAGACTTCAAAATCACTCTGAGTCAGGAATCTGAGGAACTTCCAAACCAGATTTTGGCCTCTGGTCTCCCCTTCAGGCCGACAGGAAGGGGGTGGGGGTGGACGGTGTGTGTGTGTGTGTGTGTGTGTGTGTGTGTGACAAAGTAACATTATTGGCTGGCTATCTCTTCCAGTTAAAAAGATAATCAACAGCCACCTCATGAAATAGTTCTAAACTTTTCCTGATTAAACAACAAAGTACTCAGCCCAGCGTAGAGCATACGATACTTCTTCGATGAACAACAGTCATTATTATAACTCTAACTACAGGCCCAGTGCACAAATTCGTGCACAGTGGGGTCTGGCTGGCTTGCCCCAATCAGACAGATCAGCGGTGGTTGGCAGCCTGTCCCTGCCCCTAATTGGGGGGGGGGGGGGGGGGGCTGATTGGGGCCAGGGCCGGCTGGGGGGAAGGGGCCGCAGGTGGTTGGCCGGCCGGCCCTGCTCCCGCGTCAAACTCCAGGTGGAGTGGACAATTTGCCTATTAGCTTTTTATTATATAGGATTTTCTTTCTTTCTCCCCTACCTTGACATTTCCTGCAAACTGATATAATTGACCCTTACACCAATAAGAAGCCTCCCACGCTGAGAGGAAGTCGAGAGAGGTGCACGTCACACACACAGCACAACACAAGACACTCCTACCTTGACCAGGGAGATCTGGAGGGTGACGGTCTTTCCATTCTTGAGGAGGTGCTGCAGCTTTTTGCTATGCAGAATGTTATCTACGTAGACCCAGAGCCTTTCAACAATGTCCTCCTTCAGTTCAAGTTTCTTCTTATAAAATGAGACTAATGATTGGCTGGCCCAGTCAAGTAATACCTAAACGTGGAAGAAATAGACTCTGAAAAGGAGTGGAGTTATTTGCCAAGAAATAAAAACACTGGGCATTTACGGAGACATCCCAGGGACAACCAAATCCAACTGCCAGGGGGAATCCTCGCCTCTAAGACCCACCTTCGGTAATAGCCTATTACATAGATGCTTTCACATTGTAAAATTATTATTATTACAGAATAAAAACAAGTTGGTCTTCATCTGAGGTCAATAAAAAGTTTCAAGTGAAATTCTAGCAGTTTCTTCTAACTTCTCTATACAGTTATGCTAAATTTCTCAAGTTAGAAGCACAACAATGGCTCACAACGGCCACAAAATGAAGCGAAAATGCGGAGTTAAAAGGCAGGGGTTTGGCCTGGCCGGCATGGCTCAGTGGTCATGGTTCAATTCCCGGTCAGGGCACATGCCCGGGTTGCGGGCTCAATTCCCAATGTGGGTGTGCAGGGGGCAGCTGGTCCATGATTCTCTCTCATCATTGAAGTTTCTATCTCTCTCTCTCCCTCTCCCTTCCTCTTTGAAATCAATTAAAAATATATATATATATTTTAAAAAGTGCAAATTGGTAATTACAGGAAAATCATGGGGATGTATGCTACAGCATAGAAAATAGTCAACAATAATGTAATAACTATGTGTGGTGCCAAGAAGATACTTGAAATATCGAAAGGGGGTGGGGGCATTCTGTAAATTATCTGATTGTCTAACCACTATCATGTGCAGCTGGAACTAATGTAAAATAATAATGAATGTCAACCGTAATCTATATATATATATAAAAGGCTAATAATATGCAAAATGTCCTGTCCGAAGTTTGATCACTCACTATGACGTGCACTGACCACCAGGGGGCGGCTGTCAGCCAGGGAAGGGAGACACCGGCCCCGATCGGCCCTGATCGCAGGCCAGGCCTAGGGACCCTACCCGTGCATGACTTTTGTGCACCGGGCCTCTAGCAGAAAAATAACGTTTTAAAAATGCCTGCCATACCCTCCCCTTTCACCTCGCCCTGTGGAGCCCTTGCCAGGTGACTGTCCCACAACCAAGAATCTCAGGTGCAGCCCTAACTGGTTTAGCTCAGTAGACAGAGCGTCAGCCTGCAGACTGAAGGGTCCCAGGTTCGATTCCGGTCAAGGGCGTGTACCTTGGTTGTGGGCACATCCCCAGTAGGGGGTGTGGAGGAGGCAGCTGATCGATGGTTCTCTCTCATGGATGTTTCTAACTCTCTATCCCTCTCCCTTCCTCTCTGTAGAAAATCAATAAAATATTAAAAAAAAAAAAAAAAGAATCTCAGGTGCAGCTGGTTTTAGAACCTCCTGCATATGCTACTGTTCCACATCCTGTCCCTCCCCATCGTTTGACAGATGGAATCCAGCTTTGGCACTTCTTGCACTGTCTCCTTTAATACTAGCCTAGGGGTGTATGTGAACCCAATTTCATGAGCTCATGCAAATACATTAGGCAACTAAGATTGAGAATGTTAAAAAAGAGCTATGTCTTTCTTGGTTCCCTAATCCATTCCTAGAAGGCCTTAATATAAATACCAAAGCTTTTCTTTTCTCTTTTTTTAAGAAATTTTTTTTTTTTATTGATTTCAGAGAGGAAGGGAAAGGGAGAGAGAGATAGAAACATCAATGATAAGAGAGAATCATGGATCGGCTGCCTCCTGCATGGAGCCTGCAACCCGGGCATGTGCCCCACCCAGGAATCAAACCATGACCTCCTGGTTCATAGGTCGACGCTCAACCCCTGAGTCACAGGGGCCGGGCAATACTAAAGCCCCCCGTGATTTCTCAGGCAACCTTCAGCTCATCAAATTCCAAAGACGTTCAACGAAGCTCCAACAAGCAGTTGCACGTGAAACATGGCTTTGGATTTACGAACAAATGGAGCTACCAACACAGTCAGAACGTAAGTCTGGCGCCTCACTCCCCATTTGTTCGCCGATGCACGTGCTTAATTTGGAATAGGAGAGGTTTCCAAGCCTAAGAGGTGCTGACGGAGGTTTTGCCACAGAAACCGTTTGTTCATGAAACGCCTGACCGATTACTTTTCCTTCAGACATCACTTTAACTTCCAACCATGTTTCCCTCCCCAGCTTCTTCTTGGATCTTCTAACTTTTTTTTCACTAAATGTCACCATGCAGTCTACATAACCGGTGACCGTAGCAGGTTATAAAAACGTAAGTCTCGCGTTAAACTTACTTGCTCTTTTTTTGGAAGAATGCACTGGTGAGAGATCCAAGCAAAGTGCGCTAGCTTTAGTTTATCTTCCCAGGAAGTCCTCTTGCTTTTAAGCTTAAGGGAAATGCCAGAGTAAACAGCAGCCATTGGCGCACTTCACCTACGATAGAACGCGATCGGAAAGGTTAGATTAAGGTCAAACTCTACAGGCACCAGAAAATGAACATGATGAATCTTATTGTCTACATAATACATATGTGTGTGTGTGTGTGAGTATATATATATATATATTTCTTTCTTCAATGAATTAAAACACATCAACAGGCCCTAGCCGGTCTGGCTCAGTGGATAGAGCGTCGGCCTGTGGACTGAAGGGTCCCGGGTTCGATTCCGGTCAAGGGCATGTACCTGGGTTGCGGGCACATCCCCGGTAGGGAGTGTGCAGGAGGCAGCTGATCGATGTTTCTCTCTCATCCATGTTTCTAACTCTCTATCCCTCTCCCTTCCTCTCTGTAAAAAAAAAAAAATCAATAAAATATATTTTTTTAAAAAAACAACACATCAACAGAATTGTTGGGCATAAATCTATACAATAAGTTGCTGGTGCACAAGAATTTTCTGGGGGGGAATACAGAGAAAAGCAGGCAGAAGATAGGTTACACACATAGGTACGACTATTCCTACTGTGATCAAACATCGCATCCTCAAAGGTGGGTACGCCTGAATTCAACTGGGCAAACCCAATGGAAGAAGATCCATTCACACATGGCTTGGGGTTGAAAAAGTTTAAGTTTCTCTACAAATCTCCTAAAACATACTATGTATTATGTATCAGAAAAGCGTTCCATTAAGTCGTTCAAAGAGCTAAACAAGCAGTATTTAAGGAAACAATATCCCTCCAAGGGAAAAAAAAATTTAGTATAAACCCAAAGGGAGTACTGTTATTTCAGCTGCAACAGTAACTCCCCACTATAACTTTGTTAATGTGTAAACTCACAAAGACCTGCTGCTTTCCAAAAAGACTACAAAATACAGCTACACAATTAAGAGTGCAAACACAGAACACAATAACCTCATCAACAAAGAAGGAAGGCAAAACATACCAGCCACCTAGAATTCTATACAATGGAAGGATAGCTTTGAGTTTCCTAAGAGTCATAGTAAAAAATAAAGGGGGGGGGGGGATATCTCTGGTTAAGCCATTTTCATTAGATGAAAACACACGTCATTACTTCAAAAGAGAAAAATGTTCACGATCCTTAATACCGAAATTATGGTAAATAAAAAAACAAAACAGGGCAACGGAAACACCAAAAAAATAAAAAATAAAAATCGCAGTCCATGATTCTAATATAAAACTGTCAAAGCGAAAGAATTCCCGGTTGGATCACTTGCACTTTTTAAATCTATGGGCCCGGGAATGCTCCAGACCTGCCTTCGGAACTCACTCAACACGGAATGAGCGAACGCCCGTGAGGGGCACCGACATGGAGCGCGGGACCCTTCACTCCGCTACACGGGACAGGCCCGGCCCAGCGCTGTCGTTTTCCCGTTTTGCCAAAATGTCCAAAGCCCGACACCTAGTTACTTAACTTCCAAGTTCAGTGCGTTTGTAGCCACCGCCGCGGCTACAAGGTAACTTTCAACGTGTTTGCAGAATCGGCTACAAAGACGCGCAGGGACCCTCCGGGATCTACCCGCGCTCCGCTCGGGGACCCTGCAGCGGACCTGGGAAGGGGTCCCCGAGATTTCTCACGCAAAAGCTGCTCACGCGCGGTTGCCCTCGGCATCCCGCCGGGAGGGGCCGGGCCCGGGGCGGAGGGTCGCCCCCAAGGTAACCAGCTCGCCTGGAGGTCCACTCTGGGTAGGGACCGCGGACGCGGGCGCTCACCCCCGGGCTGGTCCTGGGTAGGGGCCAACCGGTCCACGATCCGCGGTCCCCGGGTGAGGGCTCACCTGGGACCCCGGGCGGCCGGCGAGGATGGAGGACGATCCCCGGGTGAGGGCTCACCTGGGGCCCCGGGAGGCCGGCGAGGATGGAGGATGGTTCCCGGGTGAGGGCTCACCTGGGGCCCCGGGAGGCCGGCGAGGATGGAGGATGGTTCCCGGGTGAGGGCTCACCTGGGACCCCGGGCGGCCGGCGAGGATGGAGGATGGTTCCCGGGTGAGGGCTCACCTGGGGCCCCGCGCGGCCGGCGAGGATGGAGGACGGTCCCCGGGTGAGGGCTCACCTGGGGCCCCGCGCGGCCGGCGAGGATGGAGGACGGTCCCGGGTGAGGGTCCCCTCCAGGCCCGGCCGGGACAGGGACCGCGGGCGGGGGCGGAGCGCGGGGCGGCCGTCGGGGCTCCGGGGCTGCTGCACCACGTGGGCCCGGCCCCGCTCCTTCCGACCGACGGCGGCGCGGGGCGGGGCGGGGCGCGGGGCGGGGCGCGCACGCCAGGCATCGCCAGCGGAGCGCCGAGGCGCCGCGCCCATTGGCGGAGACGGTTGCGCGTCGGCGGCCCGAGCGGCCCAGCCCGCGGCGCGCTCCGCGTCCGTCAGTCATGGGGCGGCCGCCCAGAGCCGCGGCGGGGGCGGCGGGGCGCGGGGCGCGGGGGCCCGGCTGACCGCCCGGCGGAGCGAGACCCTGCAGCAGGGACGACGGAGGCGGCAGCGGCCCGATCCCGGAGGCGGCGGCGGCGGGGGGAGCCGGAGCCGCCTGGGATGCTCAGTGCGTGCGGGGCGCGCGGGCGGGGAGGCCGGGGAGGGGGGGCGCGGGCCGGGCGCGCGCGCGGGCGGCGGGGCCGGGCGGGCGGGGGGGGCGCGCGGGCGGCGGGGCCGGGGGCGCGCGGGAGGCGGCGGTGGGGGCGGGGCGGGCGGGGCCGGCGCTGCGCGGGCGCGGCAGCCGCGCCTCCGCCCTGGGCCTGCGAGTCCCGGGCGGCCGCGGGCGGCGTGGCCTGCAATCGGCGGCGACACCTGGCTGGGCGGTGCGTTTCCCGCGCGGGGTGGGTCCTGCCGGGGCCGGACGATCGGCTGGGAGGACCCGCCAGGCGTTGGGGGGGTGGGGGGGGGGAAGAGGGCACCGGGTCCAGGTCTCCTTCTCGTGGAAGGAAAAAGGAAATGTCTTTGGGGCGAACTCAAGAGTCAACTTCGCACATGGTGATGGTGGGCGGAGGATGTGAAACCGACTTGCGCCGGTGACAGGGGAGATCGGGAGGGAGACCGACCTGCCAGGTGGCCTTTGCGGGGGCTTTTGCGCCTGACAGCCGGGGGAGACGGGGGCGCTTAGGCGGGACTCGCGATCGCCAGGTAAGGCGTGGGGTCCGGAGCGAGTGGATGGTCAGGACAGGGGTGTCCTGTCCGGTTAGACTTGGCGGAAGTGGAGCCCGGGAGGGCTTGCTGCGTTCGCCCGGCACGTGCCAAAGTGTCTGCATCGTGCGCATCTCGCGGCGGGCGCGTGGGCTTCTAGCACCGAAAGGTGGGGCGCGGGCTCGCCTGCCCCTGAGCTCACCTGTGACCTTGCAGGGTGGCACCTGGGGATGGTCGCTCCCGCTCAGGAGCAGCATTTGGGTGCTGTGTTGGGAGGAACCGTAGGAGGTGATACAAGTGTGTCCTATACCTGAGTGGGGGGGGGGCGGGGGTGGAGGAACTGGGGAGGTGAGGACGGCGCCTCCGCGGTCCCCAGCCTGGGTCCGGCTCTGCGTAAAAATCTTGCAAAGGAGAGTAGGAAGGGGAGTGTATGCCACACCTTTACATTCGGAGAAACTTCGCCCGGGGGATGGGGGCTGGGGGACTAACTACACAGGCCTGAGGTTGAAACCTGGAACCGTGTGTGACCTCGGCGCGCCTTCGTTTCCTCTTCTGCAAAATGGAGCCACTGAGGTGGGGCTTGCACGGGGACCGAGGAAGGAATAGGGTAGGCCAGTGGTTCTCAACCTTCCTGATGCCGCGACCCTTTAATACAGCTCCTCATGTTGTGGGGACCCCAAACCATAAAATTATTTTCGTGGCTATTTCATCACTGTCATGTTGCTACTGTTATGAATCGCCATGCAAATATCTGATAGGCAGGATGTATTTTCATGGTTACAAATTGAACATAATGAAAGCATAGTGATGAATCACAAAAACAATATGTAATTATAGATGTTTTTCCGATGGTCTTAGGCCACCCCAAAGGGGTCGCGACCCACAGGTTGAGAACCGCTGGGGTAGGTGAAAGGGCCCCACGGGTGGGCAGCGCGCTGTGAATATTAACTGTTAGCTGTCATCACTCCCTTTCTGTCGAAAGGCCTTCCAGGTGCCCTGTCGGCCCGAGTTCGCTGTGTGAACCGTGAAGCAAACTAACTGGTTTTGTCTTATGAGGTCCCCCATCCTTCCCACCTTGAAAGTCACTGTTAAACCAGAAAAACCAAAGCGTTTTTCTCTGTGATCAGCGACGAGTCCGATGGGCGTCTGTTGGCACGGCTCTGAGGCTCCTGCCTCTGAACGTCAGGTCTGCGTGTGCTCCTGCCTCTGATGGTGGGTGAAGGCCTCACTTCACTGCTCAGGGACTGTGTGTGTATTTGGGCGGAGGCGGTTGTATGTGGTTGGTTTTTTAAAAATATATTTTTATTGATTTCAGAGAGGAAGGGAGAGGGAGAGAGAGAGAATTACTGTTACTCTGTCATAGTAATGATGACAGAGAATCATTGATTGGCTGCCTCCTGCCTGCAACCCCGGGCATGTGCCCTGACTGGGAATCGAACCGGGACCTCCTGGTTCATAGGTCGACGCTCAACCACGGAGCCACGCCAGCTGGGCTCAAGGAAGCTTTTGGAAGGAAAAGATGGCGCAGCTGAGCTGAGCTGGGACGCTTGGGTAGGACGTAGCCTGACCAGGTTGGAGGGCCGGTGTGGGTGGCTCCGGCGAATGGAGGAGCCTGAGGAAAGCTGAAGTGAGAAGGTGGGTGTTACCCCCCCCACACACAGGCGGGTAGGAGTAACCTTGAAATGACACGGTGGAGACGGAGGGCTTTTCACCCTCCACGCGGGCGGAAGCAGTGGGACGTTTTTAAGATGAGCACAGAGGCCGTCAGATTAGCTCTTTGGATTAACAGGGCCTGCGGGCGTGTGGGGTTGGATTGAAGGTAGAGACGGCCCATCCACTTGTCCTGGCAGCGTCCTGTGGGCCTGTGGCTTAACCGAGATAGACGTTTGTTTGTTTCTTTTTAAATATATTTTTATTGACTTTGGAGAGGAAGAGAGGGGAGAGAGAGAGAGACAGAGAGAGAGAGAGAAACATCCATGGTGAGAGAGAATCATGGATGGGCTGCCCCCTGCACACCCCCTACTGGGGTTGGAGCCCACAACCCGGGCATGTGCCCTGACCAGGAACCCAACCGTGACCTCCTGGTTCGCAGGGCGACGCTCAGCCGCTGAGCCACGCCGGCCGGGCCAGACACAGACATTTTAATCCACGTGTGGAAGCTGAAAGAGCGCTTAGAGGAGGCACGAAGGAACCCTGAGGTCTTCCCTCTGCAAAATTAACTTCACGGGTATGCGGTATCTGCCTGATTATAAGGCAGTTCGCCCTCCCAAGAGGGCGGTACCACGTGGTTCAAATCTCTCCTATTACAGGGCACTCCCTCAGTTACCCTATTCCCAACAACCAGACGCTGTTTGGGCTGAAACAAGCTCAGTCGAAGCCAGTTTGGGGTATTTACACCATCAGCGGATGCAGTGCACGAGGAATGAGAAGCGTTATGCCCACCTGGGTGGGTGCTGATGGCCTGGGTAGCGTTTCCACGGAGGGCACCCTCCAAGGGTCCCAGAAATGCTCTGTCATGGCTGGTTGGGTCGATGCAGAGGTGATGTGCCCTGGAAAATGGAACTTGATGGTTCAGAGTGGCTGAGGCGACCCCGGGGACACTGATGCTGACGGTGTAAGTGATTAGTTGGAGTGAAATCGTTTCATGAATTAATATACGTGCTGCCTTGTGTACTCGACCTCTGAATACGTATATGTAAGGTAAAGATTAGAAGCAGACATCTGGGCTTTAGCTACAGTCCCAAATTCTTTTGTCTTTAAGTGAAGCACATTTTCTTTTTAATTTTCTCGTTGGAAGGGGAAGGTTGTCTTAGGTGTGGGCTTACCTTTCTGACACTTTACTGACATTAACTGCTGCTCAGTGGCTCTGCTGAAGCAAAATCCCCTTTCCCGTCTCATTTTTTTAAAAAAATATATTTTATTGATTTTTTACAGAGAGGAAGGGAGAGGGATAGAGAGCTAGAAACATCGATGAGAGAGAAACATCGATCAGCTGCCTCCTGCACACCCCTCACTGGGGACGTGCCCGCAACCAAGGTCCATGCCCTTGACCGGAATCGAACCCGGGACCCTTCAGTCCGCAGGCCGGCGCTCTATGCACTGAGCCAAACCGGTCAGGGCATCATTTTTTTTTAACTTGAAGGAGGTTTGAAAGGAGGGGTACTGGCGGGATTTGGGAAACACCACTGAGAACTTCCACTCAGAAGTCTTTGTTTAGCAGGCTATTAATTAAGTTTCCTTCTGGGAAGATGTATTGAAATGTATCTCTCGCTTGGTAATCGGACAGTGTTTGTCAGTAACAAAAGGTAGCTCTTTTTTTTTTCTTACAAAGTATGAGCGTTTAGCGATTTGGTAATTTAGTCGTCAGAAATGTTTTGCGCCACCGGGTGAGTTCACGTGTGTAAGCTAAGGTGCCGACACGATACATCCTTTCACACAGTAACGCTTCGGCTCCAGAGCTGTGTGGGCCCGTCCAGTACCCATCGCCCCCTGTGGTCAGTTATATTTACTGTAACTGAAATTCAGCCTTCAGTTCCCTGGTTGCAATGCTGCTTCGTGGCTGGTGGCTACAGATTTAAACAGTGTGGGCCAGCGGTTCCCAACCTCCTGGCCCTTTCGATACAGCTCCTCATGTTGTGACCCAACCATGAAATTATTTCCGTGGCTACTTCATCACTGTCATGTGGCTACTGCGATGAATCGTCCTGGAAATATCTGATCTGCAGGATGGTCTTAGGCGACCCCTGGGAAAGGGCCGTTCGACCGCCAAAGGGGTCGCGACCCACGGGTTGAGAACCGCTGGTAGACCTAGAGCAGTTTTGTCAGTGCAGGAAGTCGAATTGGACAGTCCTACTCTATGGAAAATTGAAGGTTCTCTCTCTCTCTCTCTCTCATGTCATTAAGAGACCTCTGAGTCCTCACTTGCTGCCTTTGAATTCTGGGAGAATGCTGAACGTCGGGAGACACATCCTCCCTTATGCTCTGAGCACGACGCCTCCTGCCCTTTCTGCCGACAGCGCTGTCTGCAGGTGGAGCGAACCCGAGCCTCCTCTGTGAAGCGGGGTCATGGCGGACGCGGAGGTCCATTTCACGGGTCGCCTTTGCTCTTACGTTAACGAGGTTCCGTATAGGAACCGTTTTTCTGTGCCCGAAACAGTGGGGATCAAATATTTGACGCTGTTTGGCCCTTAAAAATCTAGAGACGTTGTGAGCTTAGAGTGAATTGTCGGTTCCCAGCAAAGGCCGGACGATATTCCCTTTATTTTCGACGTGAGTTTCAAACGGAAGGACGGCCCCAGCCCAGGGAAACTGAGTGAGGGGGAGGGCAGGAGTGCCAAGTGCATTGTGGGTGGGACTAGCATCCCCGGGGCTGTCTGTTCCTCGGGCTGCATTCTAAAGGGCAGCCTGGCCCCGTGGTTGAGCGTCGACCTAGGAACCGGGAGGTCAGGGTTCGATTCCCGGTCAGGGCACAGGCCCGGGTTGTGGGCTCCATCCCCAGTGTGGGGCATGCAGGAGGCAGCCGGTCCATGATGCTCTCTCATCATGGATGTTTCTCTCCCTCCCTCTCTGAAATCAATAAAACCATATTGTAATAAAAAATAAGTAAAAGGTGGTTTGAGGTAGAGCCAGGGGTGGGCGGAAGTTGGGATAGCCCGGATGAGAAGTGACTTGTGCTGTCACACAGCAGCAGTGACAGTGGAGAACAGCAGTGGCCCCAACAGAGAATCCTGTGAACGGTAGAAGGAGTTGGTGGCCTCTTCGAATTGAGAGGGAGAGAGAGAGAGAAGGATCGTAAGTTGCTGGCCCTTTTTTCGCTTCATGTGCAACATCCAGATAGAAATGCCTCTTGGCTCAGTGGATGGAGCGTCGGTCTGCGGACTGAGGGGTCCCGGGTTCGATTCCTGTCCGGGGCACATGCCTGGGCTCGATCCCCAGTGGCGGGGGGGTGAGAGGTGGCCGGTTGGTGGTCCTCTCTCATCATTGAAGTTTCTGTCTGTCCCTCTCCCTTCCTCTCTGAAATCAATACAAATAATATATATGTTTTTAGAAGAGGAAATATCTTTTAGACTTGAGTGCAGGAATGCGATCTGGCTGGAGACTGTACGTCTTGGGTGACAGTGCAGTGACGTAGGGGGGGTCAGGAGACATGCTTGCAAGGGGAGTGACTGAAGGAGGGCACTTCAGGGACGGAGGCATGTAGGAGTGTGGAAACGTGACTTAGGTTTGGCAGGAGTTGAGGAATCTCAAGTCCTAGTAAACAGCCCCTCCCCCACCCCCCCCAGAGGTAGGAAGCAGGGTGGGCTGGCTGGGGAGGAGGCAGAGCAGGTTGGGAATGGCCAGGGCGCGGAGTTGGAGGGCAGGAAGGCGGTCGGCAAGAAGCCTTCCCTGGGGGGAGATGCCAGAGGTCCCAGCTGACATGGAAGACAATCCGTTTCTAGTGGCATCTGCCTGCCTGGTTGTATGACTTCTGCTTCCCCTACCTCCACCCCACCCCCCAAAAAAACACCTTTGAGGTTCTACATTGCATCCTGAGCCCCCCAACTTGGAGCCTTACCCATTTCATGTGTCATTTGCACCTCGGGACACGTGGATCCGTGTCTGTCTGTGTCTGCGTGGAGACTGGATGTAAAAGGCCCGTGTCATTTTATTTTTTTTAAAATATATTTTATTGATTTTTTTACAGAGAGGAAGAGAGAGAGATAGAGAGTTAGAAACATCGATGAGAGAGAAACATCGATCAGCTGCCTCCTGCACACCCCCCACTGGGGATGTGCCCACAACCAAGGTACATGCCCTTGACCAGAATCGAACCTGGGATCCTTCAGTCCACAGGCCGATGCTCTATCCACTGAGCCAAACCGGTTTCAGCCCTTCTACTCTTTCTAATAATCAATGGAAAAATAGCCTCGGGAATAATCTCTCTCCCAGCACCCTCCACTGACCGTATCTTACGCATTTGAACATGAGCGGGTGGAGTCAGGATGCGGTCCCGTGGTACCATCGTCTAAGTGTGCCTGGTTCCCATGAGTCTTTGCAGCCCCCCCACTTCTGTCTGTGGTTAAATGTTGTGAGTGTGGCGGTGGTTTCTCCCGAACAGTAGTTACTATGAAGCAGGAAAATAATCATGTCCTGGTTTGATATAGCAACTTTGTTGGAGGATTCGTTAAACAGCGGGCACTACTGATAGATGAGAAAGAGACAGGCGTTGTGTGAGAATCCTCGTTTTCAATTCCAGAAATACTGATAAGGTGGCATTCGGAATAAAGGTCTGTGATCGCCTATTTTTACCTGGAAAAGTTTAGATATTTTATGTAAGTTGAAAATTATGGGTAATTCTCTAATTTTAACAAAGATATTATATCCAAACTCCATTTAAATTTTAAAGATTTTTATCATTTAAAAAAGCTAAGCAGGTAAAACTTGAAATTGCAATATGCATCTCATGTCTGAGTCTCTCCAAAGACAGGTCTATTTTAAGGAGGTTTTTTTTTGTGTTTGTTTTTTTTTTAATGTGTCCATTTATGGATATTATTACTATGGAAAACAGTTGGGGGAGGGGAACTGACTCCTCTGCAGATTTTTATTTTTGAGGATTTTTTTAACATATGTTTTTACTGCTTTTTAGAGAGAGGGAGGATTGGAGAGGGAGAGGGAGATGGAAACATCAAGGATGAGAGAGAATCATTCATCGGCTGCCTCCTGCACGCCCCACACTGGGGATGGAGCCCACCACCCGGGCCTGTGCCCTGACCGGGAATCCAACCGTGACCTCCTGGTTCCTAGGTCGACGCTCAACCACTGAGCCACACCAGCCGGGCATGTCTCTGTGCTTTAGTTGAGTGTGGCTGTAAAAGAGAGTTAAAACCCGCATTCCTGCCCTTGGCATCCCTGTTCCCACCCTCGGGGAAGGTGCCATGTTGTAAATGATGGTTTGGGTCCATAGAAGCTGCCGTTTGGGGCAACTAACCAGCAGATTTGTTAACATGCGAATTTACAAACCAGTTCCCAGCGACCCCAAATGCGGCCAGTTTTTCCTGCTGTTCATTTTCACCCCTTGCTGGTGACTCCCCTGCAACTTTCCTATCTTTCTCCCTCCTCCCCCTCCTCCTCCGACCTGCACCCAGATCGTTGCCCCTCGAGGACACGGCGTCACTGCAGGGCCTGTTCTCTTGTCTCCGTTTTCCTGTCTTTCATGCCCTCGCCCGTGGGTTTTTCTGTAGAGATAGCATCCCTTCCTCCCCTCTTGCTGGGAACAAAAAGGGAGACACATTGAGACAAGATACGCTCCCATGGCAACAAGAGATTGGCAGTAAAAAATCTGGAAAAGTTTTAGCCTCAGCTAAAATACGAGGAATCGGGCTGCTTTGGGAGAGTTTGGAGACGAAGAGTTCTTGAAGTTAGATTAAAAGCAGCTTTAGCTGGAGGGTGGCGGGGGTGGTGGGGGGAAGCAAAGGTGGTGGGTTGACAGAACAGCCCTGACTTTGGGCCAAACTGGGGAGGGACCGTACTGTCGCCGTCTCTCTATGCCTTTATTTTATTTTATTTTATTTTATTTTTCTAAATATAACATTGAATCAGGGGCTCAGGGCTGAAAATATTTACATACACACACACACACACGCGCACACACACGAGATGCCTAAATGTAGCCAGGTTAGGGGCCCGGGTTACTGGACCCGTCAAACTGATACAGTAACGCTTACCAGTAACCACAGCTTAACAATGGTCTGTCTTCATTGACGGGCAGGTGAACGCGGGGCAGGGATCCCCACTCTCCAAGTAGCAGAATCCTCCCGTTCGCAATTAAAGAGCCTTTGTTAAAAAATAACCGAAGCCCCGGCCGGCGCGGCCCTCCTACTGCAGGGTTACTCGTTCCATTCCCGGTCGAGGACATGTACCTGGGCTGCAGGTCCCATCCCTGGCCCCACCAGTCGATGTTTCCCTTGAGCATTGATGTCTCTCTCTCTCTCTCCCTAAAAACCAATGAAAACGTATCCTCGGGCGAGGATTAAAAGCAGAATCGTCTAAGTTGTCAACACAGCGGAAGACTTCTGATAACCCGGTGGGGCAAATGCGTCGTGAAAAGATGGGTCACTCGTGGGGCGATGATGAATGTGTTTTGTGGCATCGCTGACTCGCAGCCAGATCAGACCCTCCGTTTAAACAAAGCTTTCTGAGACTCGATCCCCAGTAGAGGAGGTACGGGAGGCAGCCGATAAATGACTCTCTCTCATCATTGACGTTTCTCTCTCTCTCTCTCCCTCTCCCTTCCTCTCTGAAATCAATAAAAAATATATTTATTTTAAGAGAGAGAGAGAGAGCATAGCATCCCCTGTCCCCATGAGTAGCCCCTCCCTTTCCCAGCACCTCTTCAGCCCGATCCTGAATTTCCCAGGCCTTGGCCTGGGTGCCACCACCCACCTGCTTCTCGGCCTGGGGAGCCGGCAGGAGACCTGAAGGGCCCGGGATCCTGCTGGTCTTGTGTGCGGGTTGAATGCGTCTCTAAGGAAAAGCTCGGGGCGGGGGGTGGAAATCTGGGCGTTCAGTGGAGTCGGGGTGATCTGCAGGGTTCCACCACTGATGGTGGCCGTGGTACCATCACCACCGGGGACTACAGAGACGGACGCGAGCACCGGCTGGTCCTCGAGGGATTCGTGTGGCTTCTTAGCTGCTCGCGGGGCCGGTCCTTCCTACCGTTGACTTTCCTTGAGGGAGGCGCCCCGGCTGGATGGGATGCGCCCCCAGATCCCTGACCGTCCCGTGTTCTGGTCTCCCCCTCCCCCAGGTCATGAAACGGGTGCGCACCGAGCAGATTCAGATGGCCGTGTCCTGCTACCTCAAACGCCGGCAGTACGTGGACACCGACGGTCCCCTGAAGCAAGGCCTGCGCCTGTCCCAGACCCCCGAGGAGATGGCAGCCAACCTCACAGGTGGGTGCGGGCCGCTGCGGGCGGGCGAGCTGGAGTGGGGGACGCACGGCAAGGTCCCTTCCGCTCTGAAGCCAATGAACATATATGTTTTTTAAAAATAACCACCATTGCCCGGCCGGCGTGGCTCAGTGGTTTGAGCATCGACCTACGAACCAGGAGGTCACAGTTCGGTTCCCAGTCAGGGCACATGCCCGGGTTGCGGGCTCCACCCCCAGTAGGAGGCAGCCGATCCATGATTCTCTCTCCTCATTGATGTTTCTATCTCTCCCCTCCCCCTCCTCTCTGAAGTCAATAAAAATATATTTTTTTAAAATATCACCATTGACAGCCTTGAAACAAGGAGAGAATGCTGGTTTTAAAAGGAAAGGACATTCTCAGGACACACACGAAAATTATACACTTAAATACGTAGTAAAAATGTGAAGTTGAGGACACCCCCAGGAAACAGAGCAGAAAGACCAGTGGGATATGGGGTGGAAGATGAAAGATCGGTTCAGGAATCTGTCCTGGAAGCAGTAGGAGAGCCAGAGAGAAACCAGGGGAATCAGCAAAATGATTCCAGCCCGGCCGACGTGGCTCAGCGGTTGAGTATTGGCCCAAGAACCAGGAGGTCCCGGGTTCGATTCCCGGTCGGCACAGGCCCGGGCTGCGGGCTCGATGATCCCCCGTCGGAGGTGTGCAGGAGGCAGCCCATCAGTGATTCTCTCTCATCACTGATGTTTCTATTTCTCTCCCTCTCCCTCCCCCCTCTCTGAAATCAATAGAGATGATGTTTGTAAAAGAAGAAGAATAATTCTTTTTCCGTCCCCATCTGTGTGTCTTCTCCGCCTTAGTCCAAACAGAATCTGGCTGTGCCAACATCGTGTCGGCCGCCCCGTGCCAGGCGGAGCCCCAGCAGTATGAGGTGCAGTTCGGGCGGCTGCGGACCTTCCTCACCGGTGAGTACCCGGCACCCGGAGCCTTGTCCGATGAAGAACGCGTCGTGGGGATTTTCCTCGGAGCCTGTTACGTTCCGGGCACGGCGCTGGGTTAGAGAATCAACGGTAGTTTACCGCCCTGACCGGTGTGGCTCAGTGGACAGAGCGTCGGCCTGCGGACTCAAGGGTCCCGGGTTCGATTCCGGTCAGGGGCATGGACCTTGGTTGCGGGCACATCCCCAGTGGGGAGTGTGCAGGAGGCAGCTGATTGATGTTTCTCTCTCATCCATGTTTCTAAATCTCTAAAAAATTAATAAAATATATTTAAATTTTTAAAAAAAGAAATATTAAAAAAAAAAAGGTAGTTTACCACTTGCCTCAAACTTACGGTCTTTGGAATTTCTGAGAGAGTTGAAGGGCAAGGTTAAAGTTTGCAAGGGCGAGGGCTCTGGGTGTATTTTTGTGGTATTGTGTTTATATCTATATATATATATTTTTTTTTATTATTTTTTTATTTTATTTTATTTTTTTATTGATTTCAGAAAGGAAGGGAGAGATAGAAACATCCATGATGAGAGAGAACCATGGATCGGCTGCCTCCTGCACGCCCCACACTGGGGATCGAGCCCGCAACCCGGGCCTGTGCCCTTGACCGGGAATCGAACCCTGACCTCCTGGTTCACAGGTCGACGCTCAACCACTGAGCCACGCTGGCCGGGCTTTTTGGGGCTCATATTTCAGTTACCAGCCTCAGAAAACAGGGTCCTGACACCGTGTGGTGTGGCAGGGCGGGGGGGGGGGCTCCCCGGGAGGGCCCCCCACGCTCTGCGATGATGCTGACTGTCCAGCGCGCCCCTCTTCTTGTCGTAGATTCCGATTCCCAGCACAGCCAGGAAGTGATGCCTCTCCTGTACCCCCTCTTCGTCTACCTCCACCTCCACCTGGTCCAGAACAGCCCCAAGAGCACCGCCGAGAGCTTCTACAGCCGCTTCCACGGCCTGTTCCTGCACAACGCCAGCCAGAGGGACGTGGTCGAGCAGCTGCAGGCCACGCAGACCCTGCAGGACATCCTGTCCAACCTCAAGCTCCGCGCCTTCCTGGACAGCAAGTACGTGGTCCGCCTGCCGGAGGACAGCTACCACTACCTGATCCGCTACCTCCAGAGCGACAACAACGCCGCCCTGTGCCGGGTCCTCACCCTGCACATCCACCTGGACGTGCAGCCCGCCAAGAGGACCGACTACCAGCTCTACGCCGGCGGCGGCGGCGGCGGCAGCGGCTCCTCCTCGCGGGGCGAGGGCGGCGGCCTGGAGCCCCCCGACGTGCCCGGGGGCCCGATCCTGCAGAACGAGGCCGCCCTGGACGTCCTGCAGGAGAGCATCCGGCGGGTCAAGGAGGGCCCGCCCTCCCTCACCACCATCTGCGTCTACGCCTTCTACCACACGGAGCAGCTGCTGAACGCCGCCGAGATCTCCCCCGACGGCAAGCTGCTGGCCGCCGGCTTCGACAACTCCTGCATCAAACTCTGGAGCCTCCGGTCCAAGAAGTTGAAAGCCGAGCCCCACCAGGTGGACGTGTCCCGCATCCGCCTGGCCTGTGACATCCTGGAAGAGGAGGTAGGGGGGTCCTGCTCCCTTCCCTGCAGCTGCCTCGCTCATCTGCTTAGAACAGTGGTCGGCAAACTGCGGCTCGCGAGCCACATGCGGCTCTTTGGCCACTTGAGCGTGGCTCTTCCTAAGCCTTAGGAGTACCCTAATTAAGTTAATAACAATGTACCTACCTATAGTTTCAGTTCAAAAAATTTGGCTCTCAAAAGAAATTTCAATCGTCGTACTGTTGGTATTTGGCTCTGTTGACTAATGAGTTTGCCGACCACTGGCTTAGAATATTCTTTCCAATCGTGACTGATCTTACAGAGCGGGGACTTTTTGACTTATAACCCTCATCCGATAGCAAACTCATGCTGTGTAACCTGCAGCCTTTTGAGTCCTGCCCATGCCTAACCTCGGAAGAGATGAAAATTATTATTTTTTTTAATGTAGATTTTTATTGATTGCAGAGAGGAAGGGAGAGAGAGAGAGAAACATCCATGATGAGAGGGAATCATGCATCGGCTGCCTCCTGCACGCCCCACACTGGGGATCGAGCCCACAACCCGGGCATGCGCCCTGGTCAGGAATTGAACCGTGACCTCCTGGTTCACAGGTCAACGCTCAACCCCTGAGCCACACCGGCCGGGCACTCCCATAGTTAAGTTCTTATATAAACTTCTGGAGTAGAGCAATGAGTCATTCTTGAAATGGTGAAGTGTTGTTGTAACCTCTTTGGAATGGAAAGCACTAATATTCGTGGTCACAGTGGAACCGTAAGCTCCCAAATGCTAACGTGTTTTTGGTCCTCGGTGCCTGCCACAGCCATTTTGAACATGGGTGGGCACGCGTGTGTATTTTCCCTCCACGCTGTACACATTGGAGCCTTTGCTTCATTTCAGTTTAATGGTTTTTTCAAGTAGAAGTTAAAAGGATGCCCTTTTCCTAGGCGAGAACCTAAAGCTCACACATATATTTATTTATACACCCACCACGGCAATGGGTGATAGAATCTTCATCTCGCTGCCCTTCATTCTGGTAGGGTTTCATGAAAACCCACCGTGATTGATGAATTCCGGGGTCGAGGCGGCTGTAGCTTTAAGGAGCCTGCCTGTGAGCGAGTGAAGGTTTTGGACACAGACAGTGTCCTGGTGGGGGAGATGCTGGGGGTAGGGCGGAGCTTCCCCCCAGGGACCAGGAGCGGCTGTCTTCCCTGCTGTCCCCCACACAGGAAGTCTGTCCGAGAATCACAGGGGTCACTGGGCTGTAGAGTCTCCAGGCCTTGCCTTGCTCCTTCAGGGAAATGTTTGCAACCCTCTGGAAAGTCACGGTTCTAAAGCCGCATCTCTCTTCCCTCGTGGACACCAGCAGTGCATGCCTGGTCTCTGGGTGTGCGTGCCATTTACTGGTGATCGCGCCTGTCTGGCTTACCGTTCTGATGGGCCCGGGTTAGTTTTGGCTACATGGCTACGGTGGTTCTGTATTCATCATGCACTGAGCCTGGCCGGCGTGGCTCAGCGGTTGAGCGTCAAGCTGTGAACCAGGAGGTCACGGTTCGATTCCCGGTCAGGGCACAGGTCCGGGTTGCGGGCTCGATCCCCAGTGGGGGGCGTGCAGGAGGCGGCCGGTCCATGATTCTCTCTCATCATGGATGTTTCTGTCTCTCTCTCCCTCTCCCTTCTTCTGTGAAAGCAATAAAATAAATAAATATACATATACTAGAGGCCTGATGCACGAAATTCTTGCAAGGGGCTAGGCCAGTGATGGCGAACCTATGACACGCATGTCAGAGGTGACACGCGAACTCATTTTTTTGGTTGATTTTTCTTTGTTAAATGGCGTTTAAATAGATAAAATAAATATCAAAAATATACGTCTTTGTTTTACTATGGTTGCAAAGATCAAAAAATTTCTCTATGTGACACGGCACCAGAGTGAAGTTAGGGTTTTTCAAAACGCTGACACGCCGAGCTCAAAAGGTTCGCCATCACTGGGCTAGGCCCTTGCAGCCCTGGCTTTGTCCGGAAGGTTGTCCGGAAGGTCGTCCGGATGGTCGTTCCGCTGTTCGGCCATCCGGTTCCAATTAGCATATTACGCTTTTATTATCATAGATGTTTTAAGTCATGAAAACTGAGACCAGGTCTGCGTACCGAGGGCTGAACATACACTCAGAAGTAAACCTTTTCGGACAGCGGCTCTCAGGATCCACAAGGAAAGTCACCATAGGCTGCCCACAGACATCACTCCATAAACAGCCTCACGTTGCTGTAGCTTTTTCTTTTTTTTAATATACTTTATAAGATTTTTTACAGAGAGGAAGGGAGGGGGATAGAGAGTAAGAAACATCAGTTCAGCCGCCTCCTGCACACCTCCTACTGGGGATGTGCCCGCAACCAAGGGACATGCCCTTGACCGGAATCGAACCCGGGACCCTTCAGTCCGCAGGCCGACGCTCTATCCACTGAGCCAAACCGGTTAGGGCTGCTGTAGCTTTTGCTGGGCTAAATCCTTGGCTTCAAAACGCATGGAAGGAAAGAGGGGTGTGAGCTGTCGGGGACTTTTTACTCGGTCACGCGGTTATGGGCCGATCTCCTGGGGTCACCCTTAAGAGCGAGACCCCTGTCATGTCCCGGGTAGGTGCTATTTCCCAAGCAGCGCCCCCCTGCCCCCCCACCTGCTGCCCCGAGATTGTGTTTCCCACACGGACCACTAAACATCTCTTCTTGTGTCCCCTTTGCGGCCCCGCCCGGCGTGCCCAGGAGGAGGAGGAGGAGGCCGAGATGAAGACGCTGCGGGGCCACTGCGGGCCCGTGTACAGCACGCGCTTCCTCGCCGACGGCTCGGGGCTGCTGTCCTGCTCCGAGGACATGTCCATCCGCTACTGGGACCTGGGGACCTTCACCAACACGGTGCTGTACCAGGGCCACGCCTACCCCGTGTGGGACCTGGACATCAGCCCCTACAGCCTGTACTTCGCCAGCGGGTCCCATGACCGCACCGCGCGGCTGTGGTCCTTCGATCGGACGTACCCGGTGCGGATCTACGCGGGCCACCTGGCGGACGTGGACTGCGTCCGCTTCCACCCCAACTCCAACTACCTGGCCACGGGCTCCACCGACAAGACGGTGCGGCTGTGGAGCGCCCAGCAGGGCAACTCGGTGAGGCTGTTCACGGGCCACCGCGGCCCCGTGCTGTCCCTCGCCTTCTCCCCCAACGGGAAGTACCTGGCGTCGGCGGGCGAGGACCAGCGGCTGAAGCTGTGGGACCTGGCCTCCGGGAGCCTCTACAAGGAGCTGCGCGGCCACACGGACAACATCACCAGCCTCGCCTTCAGCCCGGACAGCAGCCTGGTGGCCTCGGCGTCCATGGACAACTCGGTGCGCATCTGGGACATCCGCAACAGCTTCTGCAGCGCGGCCGCCGACGGCTCCTCGGGCGAGCTGGTGGGCGTGTACACGGGGCAGATGAGCAACGTCCTGAGCGTGCAGTTCATGGCCTGCAACCTCCTCCTGGTGACGGGAATCACGCAAGAAAATCAGGAACATTGATTTTTTTTTTTTTTTTTTTACACCCTCGTGGTGACGGACCGGGCGGCCGTGGAGCAAGGGCTCCGGGCTGCATCTGACGATCGAATCACTGACTGACTGTGAAAGACTCCCCACCTCTCCCCGTGTCCCGTGCGGGCATCCTGGGCGCGGACACCCCTTCCTCGGCCGCCCCCCTCCCCCAGTGTCCAGGACGCGGGGGCGCGGAGGGGGTACGGACAGGTCGTGGTGGTGATGAGTGGACGCAAGATCAAGAATTGGGATGCTCTGGAGGTGGGGGGGCACGTTCTTCCAAAGAGGCCCCCGTGTCCTCGTGAGAGCACCTCCTGTCTGTCTCCTTCTCCCCCCTCCCCCCCTTTGTGGAACCACGATGCTGCTGCTGACCGGCCGGGGAACCCACTTTGGTCCCAGGAGGGTCGCAGGTCACAGCCGCTGGCTGGCAGGAATGCAGGGGTGGGGGCGAGGAGCATCCAGGATTTTTATTGTTATTATAATTATAGTAATGATGATGATGATGATGATGATGATGATGATGATGATGGAGAAGGGGGCACCCAGCACTGGCAGAGGCATCTCTCTGCTCTCCACCTTCAGGTCCGGCTCCCGGCACTGGCTCTGATGCTTGGCATTTTGAGGTTCAGGGAATCCGGGGCTCCGGGAGCGCAGTGTCTTGTGGGAAAGGGAGGATTTCTGGGCGACGGGTGGGTCACCCCCTTCCCCCTTTCCCCCGACGTGTTCCTAGAAGTGGGTGCATCCAGTGGAGGAAGCCTGGGGCTCAGGCAGTGATGGTGCGAGACCTCGTGGCTCACTTCTGTGAACAAGCCTCCACCCCCCTTCCCCCCGGGCCCCCGAAATGTCGGAAAGAAATGAAAATAATGTGAGGTGATCAGTCCGGAGGCAGAATGAGAAAGCGTTGGCTTCCCCCGCCAGCGTAAGGTCAGAGGGGTGGCTTTTCCGGCCTTTGGCTCCTTGAGGTCACCGCTCCCGCCTCCTGCATCGCAGCGGCAGCTCGATGCACGCCTTGTGAAACACACTGTAAGCACCATGCACGCATCCGAAAACCCCGAGGACAACGCCAGGTCTGATTTGTGGGCAAAGGATTCAATCTTTCTGGTTTTTTTGGTTTTTTTCCCCTGAGAAGAGTTATTTTGTATTTTGTTTTCTATTAAAATGTATTTAGTTTCCCAAAAACGAAGTGTTGGCATCTCATTTAAGCTGTGAGGAGAGGCGGGTGTGGCCTGGACTCCAGGCCGGACCGGCCCCTCGAAGGTGCACCTCTGCGCGCTGCTCAGCTCCCTTGGAATCACCCTTCCTCGGCGTTCCCGCGGCTCCCCGATCGCATTTCATACCGTTCGGACATCCCAGACTGCCATGCTCACCGGAGACGACGTCTGCCTTGCCACCCAGAGTTATTTGGTGAGATTCTACTTCCAGTTCTCCTCCTCAAAAGACCCCATTACAAAATCGCTAGCGGGTGTTATTTAATGAACTCGAACTATGTATTGAACCATTTCCAGGTAAAGGACTCGTTCAGAGATGTCAATGACGCCAGGATTTCTACAGTGTGCTTCCCAGTGTGCGTCATTTTCTGGCAAGGACACGAGAATTCCCAGGAGGGTGTCTAGGGAGACTCTAGAATTCTGTGCCAAAAAACTTTTTTTTTTTTACTTGAGCCTAAGGTGCTAATCGGACATGTTTCTTATAGATAAAAAATATATATTTGAGACATTGCAAGAAGGATCCTTTGGCAACTTAAGACAGTTATCACCTTCCACGGGGCCTGCAGGGAAAAGCCTAGAATATGCAGGCGTGCGTTCGTCTGTACGGAGTGAACCCCTCCGCTGGGTTGTACGGCGTATTGCTAGAAATAATGAAATTCTCCGATTGGACCGAATCATTCGCAGAAGTGGAAATATCACTGATCTGGAAGCTTTTGTGTTTGTTTGTTTTTTAATGCAGAACTTCTTTGATTAAACGCAGAAATGTATAGGTTGGTCAGTCTTCACCTTGCCGATCATGTATATATACGTTTGTGATTTCAATGGAAGCCCTTAATGATTTGCATGTTTGGCCTATTTTTTTCTTTTTCTTTTGTGTGCTCATTTTAATGTGGGGTCATCAAACCTTCTAGAACGCCCCTCACAACTTTCCCCCAAATCTTGGAACTATTATGAGGTGGGTGGGTGTGTGTGTCTGTGTGTCCACAAGGGTGTACAGAGGACGTGGGCGCCCCCTTTAGGTGGCTCCCTGCTGTCTTATTTCCTCTTCAGAGCAGTCCTATGGTGTGGACAGGACGGGTGATGCTACCATTTTGTATTGAAAATAACCTAAAGCCTAAAAAAAAAGCTATATAATTTATTTTTTTGGAATAAAGAAACTTTAGAATATTCAGTTATTTTGAACCACAATGATGAATCTGTGATGTGTATATGGTGTGGGCGGGGTACAGCTGAAATAATCTTACACTGACAGGCTCAGTAAATCTGATTGTAAATTTTAAGTTTAGCCGTAGACTGGCCGGAAGAAAGAAAGAATTATGATAAAGGAAAGTCCTGAACAGAGAAAACGGGAAACGGTGAAAAGTTTTTCAATTCAAGGTCTAGCTTCTAAGGAGACGATGACTAGCTTTTCATTGGTTTCATGCGTGTATTAAAAAATGTCTTGGTTGTATAAAAAAAAGGGGGGGGTATTTTTTTGAGTACGTAGTCTTCTCATTTTGCTGTCGCCCTGACTGGTATTTAAGTATATGGATTAAAAACTTAGTCTGTACTTCAACCTGGCTTTCAGTTGCTTGTTTGGGAAATGTGTCCATTCACTCTATGGCCGGGCCACAGGCTGGCGAGGCTTTTGTTTGCTCCCGGGGCTGCTGTCCTCACGAGCTCCCTTGTCACCCTTGCAGGGGACAAGAACCCACAGGTGGAACTGTCCTGGAGGTAATCCCAGCTGCTCTCGAGTTCCCATCAAAGGAAGTCCCTTTTGAACTTGACACCTGCTGGCCACTAAACCCATGAAGCGTCTATTCACTGGGGGCCAGATTTTGCTGCGTGGGGCAACCACACCTCCACCAAGGGCCCTCTCTGTCCTTCCCGGGGGCAGGATCTGAGGTTCTGCTTGTTGTCTCAGAATTAACACCCAACCTTCCCTTGCTTTGCTGTCATATTTTATTTATTTATTTTTTACTATTAATCCATTCATATCTCAGTGCTTTTGCTTCTTCCTTCCCCAAACACACCTTAGAGCATTTCTTGCCCTTCTCAGTGGCCAATCAATATTTTTAATATGTTTTTATTGACTTCAGAGAGGAAGGGAGAGGCAGAGAGAGAAACATCCATGGTGAGAGAGAATCATTGATCGGCTGCTTCCTGCACGCCTCACACTGGGGATCGACCCCCAACCCGGGCATGTGCCCCGACCAGGAATGGAACCATGACCTCCAGGTTCACACGTCGACGCTCAACCCACTGGGCCACACCGGCCGGGCCATTTTATCCTAATTTCTAAAAGGGTAGTGAGATGTTATCCTTATTTTCAAGTGGGAATAGTAATTCGCATTACTAGGACCGCTATCCGCAGGCCTCAACCACGACCCTGACATAAGAACCATCTGGCCCCGCGGCCATCCCTCAGCTTACAGATGCCCCCACCACGAGGTCTCCGTGTGTCCTCGGGGCTTTCCAAGACCCTCTCCTCCAGCTTTCCTGGCGCGTGTGTTAAAACGCATGGCGCCCGGCTTGGTCTCCATTCTGAGCGGCCAGAGGGCCTGGACCACGTGTGCGTTTGCATGTTATAAACTATCTCTGCGCCTTCGCCAAGTGCATCCAAAAGCCACTCTCCGCCAACCACCTCCTCCATCCACACCGCCTTTCGGAACCGAGTCGCCCCGCAGTGAGGTTCCCTCCAGCAGTGCTCCTGCGCCTCCGCCCGGTGCTCCGCCCTGGGACGCGGGGTGGCAGGACCCGTCCCCGCTGGGTCCCCCGAGGACCCGCACACGCGCGCACGCTCAGCCCAACTCGCGGTCCTGCAGCCGCCTCCTCGCGCCGGGCGTCCTGCGATCGCGCCTGCGCGCTCCGCCCCGCCCCGCCCAGTCCGCCGGCGTGAGAAAAGGCTCGCGCCGCTCTGGGTTCTGACGGGAGTGGACGGAAAAGCGTGAAAAAGCTCCCTGCGCGCCAGTGCGCAGGCGTGGCGGTGCTCACCACTTCCGGGGCCGGGTCCCTGCCAGACCGCGCGGGCGGCGGGCGGGCGCTCGGCTGCCCGGTGGGGGGCGCTGCAAGGAGGGCGCCCGGGTCGGGGCGGGCTTCCTGGAGGGCGGGGTGCGGCCGAGGGGCGCGGCCCGGGGCGGGCGCCTGGGGCGCCGGCCCGATGCCGCGGGTGACGGCGGGTGACCGCGGGCGGGGCCGAGTGCACGCCCTCCGCTCGGCCGGGCCGGGAGGGTCCTCGGGCGCCGTGCGCGCGGGACCGGGCGGGCGGGCGCAGACACTCGGCTCGGACGCGGCGCCATGCGCGGGCCGCTCGCCTGGCCGCTGCGCCTGCTCGTGAGGCGGGGCCCGCTCGCCTGCGCGTGGACCCCGTCCGCCCGCGCCCCCGTGTCCCGGCCGCTGCCGACCGGCCTGGGGCCACCGCGGCTTTGGGGCGCGGGCCCGGGCGCCCTGCGGGGTGCGGGGGCCGCGCGCTGCTGGGCGAGCGGGTGCCCGGGCGGGGATCCCGGCGGCGGCGCGGGTCTGGCGCGGCTTCTGGGGCTGCGGGCGCGGCCCCCCGGGGACCCCCGCCTCCCGCGCGCCCTGCTCTCCGGCGGCCCAGGTGGCGGCGCCCGCGCGGGGGGCGAGGCCTGGCGGCGCGGACCGGCGGTGCCTGCGGCCGCGGCGGCTCCGAGGGACGACTCGCGGCTGCGCCCCGCGGCGGCCGGGCGCTCCGAGGCCCAGAAGCTGCTGGGGCTGGCGTACCCCGAGCGCCGGAGGCTGGCAGGTAGGGGTCCCCACCACCACCTTCCCGTCCCCGCACCTTGCCCAGCTCGGGGTCCCGGCCGCCGATCGGGACCCCCGGCCGCTTGCAGCGCGGCGAGGAGGGCAGGGTGACCTCCTCCTGGGGGTTTTGAACCCAGAAGCGCTGGACCGGGCGCTCCGCCCACAGTGGCTGTCGGGTTGGCTGGGCACCTGCTGGGCGATTCGCTTTACGTCTGTTTGGTTCGCGGACCTACGTTCTCCGAGGCGCGCGGCGTGGTGGCTCCTAGAAAGTCGGGTCGGCTGCTCCTTGGCGCTGCCAGCATTCGCAGAATCAGCCGGGTTTTTATTCTCTCTCCCCCCCCCCCTCATCTCTTATTTTTAGAAATTAGAACTCGAGCCAAAAGCATGTCTGTATTATGCACTTACGCTGATTTTTTTAAAAAACATGATTTGTTCTATTTAGGCAGGGTTACTAAGCAGTCAGTTTTCCCACGTGAAGCGGAACAATCTAAACCTTTTCCCCATCTGTCCCCCTGCCTTTGCCCCTGGGGTGATGGGTAGGAAGTTGCTTTGCTATTTTCAGAGCAGTCGGCCCCGGCCTGGGTTACTGATGTATAAAGTCTAGGAGTTTTGCCCTGGCCGGTGTGGCTCAGCGGAAGGAGCGTGGGCCTGGGGACGGAAGGGTCCCGGGTTCGATTCTGGTCAATGGCAGGTACCTGGGTTGCAGGCTCGATCCCCAGCTCTGGTTGTGACTTGGGCAAAGGCAGCCAATTGGTGTCTGTCTGTCTGTCTCTCTGTCTCTCTCTCTCTGAAAATTAATAGGACAATATCCTCAGGTGAGGATTAGCAACAAAATCAAAGGTAGATCAATAAACTCCAGAAGTTTTGGGAAACGATAGATCACAACCCAACTAAACCAAAAGTAATTTTTATAAAGAGAATGAATGTTTTTAGAAAACAAAATCCAGATAAACAAGGCGGATTTTGTAGCTCCTCGTTTTTAGCCATTAGAGAAAGCTTTAAATGCTCGTTTTTTAGGTTTCTCTAAATCTTCCTTTCTTTTCTTTCCTTTTTTTTTTTTTTTTTTTTTTTTAAATTGATTTCAGAGAGGAAGGGAGAGAGAGACAGCAACATTAATGATGAGAGAATCATTGACCGGCTGCCTCCTGCACACCCCACACTGGGATTCGAGCCCAGAACCAGACACGGGGAATCGGACCGTGACCTCCTGATTCACAGGCCGATGCTCAACCACTGAGCCACGCTGGTTGGGCAAAATCTTCATTTCTTTCATTGTGGGTCCCCTTGGTGAGCAGAAGGAAATGTGGTTTCTGTTCCTGCTGGGGCTTCCCATGAGTGAAATAAGCACATGATCACGTGACTAGAGATACAAGTGGATCTGTGATGAGGGCTTGGAAACAGGCTGTGAGGCTCTCGGGGAAACACTTGAAACCGGTGAGCACCCCACATTCTCTGCTGCAAAACCATTGCCTTAGCAAGGGTCCTCCGAACAGTGGCTGGGGACTTGGGGGGGTGGAGGTTGGTGCTGGGCAGTCCCGTGGGAGCTGTCAAATCTTAGGGGCATTCTTGGCATCACCCAGGTGCAAAGGGGACTAGTTCATCACGTGGTCGTATGTAGATTTTGATGGAAATAAAGATCCTTGTGCCTGGCCAGTGTGGCTCAGTGGTTGAGCGTTGACCTAGGCACAGGAGGTCACGGTTCGATTCCCGGTCAGGGCACGTGCCCAGGTTGTGGGCTTGATCTCCAGTGAGGGGCGTGCAGGAGGCAGCCGATCCATGACTCTCTCATCACTGATGTTTCTCTCTCTCCCTCTCCCTTCCTCTCTGAAATCAACAAAAATATTTTTAAAAGGGAACATTTTGAAACGAGGAGCTCTCGTGGACTGAGCTGCTTGGGCGAGCAGCCGTCCTCCTCCAGTTGGCAGCGTGGGGCCCAGAGCAGGGCGCAGAGCGTCTTCGGTGAAGGTGTAAGTGGCGGTGGGACCAGGCCCAGGTTGAGGCTGATGTAGAGACCCTGAGCCCTACAGGGAGCGGCCCCCTTTCTCCATGAACTTGGAGCAAGTGTACGGGAACCCAGTGTTATTTTGTTTCTGAGGTATTCAGTGTCAGGAAGGTTTTCTGGTGCCCACACGTGCTCAGCCCACTGGGTAGCCCAGCCCTGCCCCTCTCACGCCCATCGTCCCTGTACCCTCTTACCGTGTCCCCACGTGTCCTGCTGGTATGTTAAGACAGCCCTAGCCACGGCAGGAGCTGTACCTCCTTGTATTTAAAGAAGGGAGCTGTGTGGGTATGCCACATGGAACGACTGTGAACATAGAATTTGAGGGAATAAATTGGGTTGCACGCTAATTTTAAAAAATATTTTTAAACGGGTAATGAATACATATGGTATCTGGTGAGGGAATCTGACGAAGACCCCTCATTAGGACATCTGGCTTCCTCAGAACTCATTCGATAGGGTATATTGAAGCCAGTCTGGGCGTCCGCATTCGTGGGGTTCAGAGGAAGTGAGGGGTCACCATCAGTTTGTAACTTATCTTCATAAGGGCAGTCCCAGAGGTTGCCACATGGCTGTCAAGTGCTGGAGATAAAGAGCGGGTGTGTGTGTGTGTGTGTGTGTGTGTGTGGGTGTGTGTGTGTGTGTGTGGGGGTGTGTGGGGGTGTGTGTGTGTGTGTGTGGGTGTGGGTGGGTGTGGGTGTGTGTGTGTGTGTGTGTGGGTGGGTGTGTGTGTGTGTGGGTGTGTGTGTTGTGTGTGTGTGTGTGTGTGTGTTGCGCGCGTGCCTGCCTGTTTCTCAATCAAGAGACCAGAGAAAGCTGAGTTGAAGAGAAGGAATTCCACTGTTAATGTGTTAATTTTTAGAAAAACGAATATGAAAAAAAAAAACCCCACCTTTTTCAAAAATTCAGCTACCCACTCGAATAACAGTATTTTCAACCTTTTGCAGCAGTTTCGGAAAATGCCCCCTGAACTGCCTGAGCAGAACACTTCGATCTTAAGCCATTTGTACTAGGACCTTAAACAGGACCTGCTGTCTGACATGTTGCAGATGTGCGTGGAGACGTGTTCGCATGACTTCCATGCCCAGCCCCCTGGTCCCCGCCCCGCGTCGCCCTGGGCGTCGGGACATGCAGCTATCTCTCTCCAGCTGCGGCCCGCACAGTGGCTCTCCAGGCTTTTCCCACTGATAACCCTTCATCTTATCACTTGGCCTTCGCTGCAGGGCTCACCAGGAGCCCGTGGGGGCTGACGGGATAGGAGTCATTGGTCAGAGCCCTCGGCTGCACCTGGACGATAGGAGAGCCTGTGGGCCTCTTGCCGTCCCAGTGAGCTGGGCAGTGAACAGGGGCCTTCGATGAGCCATGGGCCCCTTGGGCTCCTGGGAGATTATAACGGGGCTGCCAGCGGGGAGCCCTTGGTGTGATGGGCCGCTGTGTGCAGAGGCGGCTCTTCCCACACTTCCCAGGCCGGCTCCTAGTCTCACTGTGGAAGGTACATCCCCCCACCCGCCACCCCCCACATGTGCATTTGGGGCCTCTGGTGCGGGGGGGGGGGGGGGGGGGGCCTGGGAGGGCGCCTCTCACTTAAATTCTCGATAAGGTCTTGTGTGTGTGAATTTAGATTAGGACCATTCTTGGAACCCGATGCCGCCAGGAGCTCTTGCTGAATCTGTAGTTAGATTTTACGAAGACAGACCAAGAAGTGACCAAAATAAACAGAGGCTAGGCCTGTGGGTGCCGTGAGCGAGGAGAGGGCGGGCAGTGCTCAGAGCGGCCGTTCCCCGGGGCCCAGGCCGGGCAGAGGTGCTGGCCAGGACACTGAGGCTGTACCCCAGCGCGGGGACCACTCCTGGAAGCCAGGCGTGTCTGTCCACCGGGGAAATGCCGTATTTCAAAGAGAACATGAACATTCGGTGCATAGCTTTAAGGGTAGAATACACACCAGATTTGGAAAGAACTTAGTATGAAAAAAAGTAAAATCTCGTTATTTTTATCTTTATTCCATGTTGATTCCTATTTTCGGATAGTTTGGGCCAAATAAAATGTATTGCTAACATTAATTTTACCTGTTCCTTTTACTCTTTTTTTTTTAATCTTTATTTTTTAAAGTATTCCGTCTGCCCCCTTTCCCCCCATTGGCCCCGCCATAAAGGGAGCATACTCTTTTCAATGTGAGGGGAACATTTTAAATGACACGGGCGGGCCCCCCGGACATGCCTGCAGGCCAGTGAGCGCTGGGGTCCAAGACAGGCCTCCCTGCTGTCACTATGGCGCAGGCGCCCGCTCCCTGGCACACGCTCACGGTCGGGCCTTGCATCAGACCTGCCAGGGCTCAGTCTTTGTTCTGCCGAGTCCTCTCTGAACCTGACCAGTTTCCTACACTCCCTGCTTCCTGCTCGTCTCCCAGCCCGCGTGTCTTCACTTCCTCCCCCGCCCGGCCGCATGCTTTATCACCAAAAGCTGTGATATTGAGAGAGGACATGCCCCATGTGCGGTGAATGCCTGCTACTGCCTTCCCACGCGGAGGGCGGGTGTTGTTGACATTCTAGACATCATCCAGGGCTTTACCTGCACAATTTGGTCTAGAAACAAAGATACGGTTAGATACCAGGGAGGAGTGATGAGTAGTGAATGTAGGAGAAAATACCATCTGAGACGAACGCCCAGATCAAGAGACAGGAAGGAGGGGCCGGGGGTGGGGGGGACGTGGTCAGGTCAGGGTGATGCGGACAGTTTTTATCGGGTGCAGGGCATGGTCAGTCCCTCCCTGCGGTCGCCCTACTTGTTCTGCCCTGGGACCCATCGGTTCTTCCTGTAGTCGGGTCAGGGAGCGGAAGGGACGACGTCCCAGCGCCGGCCCCTCGCCCAAGGCCCCCGCGAGCTGAGAGCGGCCCCTGTCTTCCAGCCGCCGTCGGGTTCCTGGCCGTGTCCAGTGTCATCACCATGTCGGCGCCCTTCTTCCTGGGGAGGATCATCGACATCATTTACACCAGCCCCACCGGGGACTACAGCGGCAGCCTGACCCGCCTCTGCCTGACGCTCAGCGGCATGTTCCTGTGCGGAGCTGCGGCCAACGCCATCCGCGTCTACCTCATGCAAACCTCAGGTCAGCGCCCTCCTCCCGGGAGCACGGGGGGGAACCCCGGGGGTGTCGTGTGCTGCGGGCCCCAGGCTTTTCCTCTCCTCTGCATCACATTCAGCAGGGGGCCCGGCCAGCGTGGCTCAGTGGTTGAGCGTCAACCTGTGAACCAGGAGGTCCCAGTTCGATTCCCGGTCAGGGCACATGCCTGGGTTGTGGCCTTGATCCCCAGTGGGGGGCCTGCAGGAGGCAGCCGATCAGTGATTCTCTCTCATCATTGATGTTTTGTTCTCTCTTTCTCCCCCTCCCTCTCTGAAATCAATACAAATATATTTTTTAATATGTTTTATTGATTTTTTACAGAGAGGAAGGGAGAGGGAGAGAGAGTTAGAAACACCGATGAGAGAGGAACATCGATCAGCTGCCTCCTGCACACCCCCTACTGGGGATGTGCCTGCAACCAAGGTACATGCCCTTGACCGGAATCGAACCCAGGACCTTTCAGTCTGCAGGCCTACGCTCTATCCACTGAGCCAACCCAGTCAGGGCAATACAAATATATTTTTTAAAAAAACAAACATTCAGTAGGGACACTGCCCGACGCTGGAGCTGTGGATTGTGGTAGCTCAGTGCCCTCTCCTCAGCCCTCTTACGTGACTTGGATTGAGCTGGGAGGGAGCAGCCGTCTGTTTTCCGGGAGGTTTGAGAGCACGGCTGTCACGCGGGAGGCTGGAGCGGGGCCTCCCTCCAGGGGGAGCCGGGTGATGCCTGGACAGTGTGTCTGTCAGGCCAGGTGGCTCAAGGCCCGTGCCCGCCACAGCCATGACAGGCCCCGGACGCCCGGCTCCACGTCGGTTGCTGGCCATTGAGTTAATAAAATAAATACTCGGTAGATAATTAACCAATTGTTGCCATTTGGAAGTTCAATACAGAAAAGGTTGCCGAGGAAGGACACCATTAGCTCTCGAACAGTCACTGTAGTAAAACGTCTCTGTAAATAAGTCGTAAGCATCTCAGTCACGTTATGTTTGCAGATCCCTGTAGCCTCTCCTCCGCCTCCAGGCTGCAGGGGCTAAGGGAGAGTGATGCTCGTTTCTGGCAGCTTCCTGCCCAGCTGCCAGGGCCCCGGGGCGTGTCCCAGGCACCCACAGGGCAGCAGCCGCGCCTCCGAGGCCGCAGGCGAGAGGGATCACCTCGGCCCTCGCTGACCCGGCCCCGTTGGCTTTCGCAGGGCAGCGCATCGTGAACCGGCTGCGAGCTTCCTTGTTCTCCTCCGTCCTGAGGCAGGAGGTGGCTTTCTTCGACAAGACCCGCACGGGCGAGCTCATCAACCGCCTCTCCTCGGACACGGCGCTCCTGGGCCGCTCGCTGACCGAAAACCTCTCGGACGGGCTCCGGGCCGGGGCCCAGGCCTCTGTCGGGATCGGCATGATGGTACATCCCCCGCTCGCGTCGGCACCTTCTGGGCAGGGCTGGGCTGGGCCAGGCCTCTCGTGTCCGGGAGGAGCTCGGGTGAGCTGCTCCCTTCCCTCTGTAGCCACTGGCCAGAGGGCCGCCCCGCAGGCTGTGGGGACAGACGCTGCTGCTTCCCGCATGGCCTCTGGCACCACATGTCCCAGGACGCAGTCCTATTGAGGCAGGCCCGCTGCTTTAGGAAAGGTGGCTTTGTGGCCTGGGCCTTCTGAGGATGCTCGAAGGCAGCAGGGGGAAGGAACCTTCCGGTGCTGAGCAGTGGGTCCGAGAGAAGACAGGAAGTCACACCCGCCACCACAGGCAGTGCCACCCCTGCCCGAGGGACCCCTTCCTCTCCTCCTCGCCTGGGAGGGAAGATCAGTCCCCCTCCTTCCAGGGGCCCCTCACCACTCCCACGCCTTCGTGTTGTCCTAAGTCCGTGGTCGGCAAACTGCGGCTCGCGAGCCACATGCGGCTCTTTGGCCCCTTGAGTGTGGCTCTTCCACAAAATACCACGTGTGGGCGCACGGACAGTGCAATTGACACTTCGTGGCCCGTGCGCAGAAGTCGGTTTTCGGCCTGGGCGAGTCTATTTTGAAGAAGTGCTGTTGATATTTGGCTCTGTTGACTAATGAGTTTGCCGACCACAGTCCTAAGTGAATGAGTGAATGAATGAATGAACAAATGATTGGTTCTGTCCATTACTTTACACTGCAGTCTGCTCCTTTTTTTCTCAGCATTTTAGAAGAGCCTTGTTCTGATTATGCTATTTTCTGAGCAAATGAGATTTGGCAGATCTTAATAATTTGTTGAAGGGGTGCTAGTACCGTTTAAGATACGGTCACCAAATTGCAGGGTTGACAGGAAACCCCACCAGGCCACTTCTGGAAGTCGGCTGTTTCTTCTTTGAGCAGGTCCAGCTGTCAGGAATCGCTCCTCATGCTGAGTTCAGATCCACGTGCTTCCGTCCACTGAGCCAGGGAAACGCTGTAACTCTTCCTGCCCTTGTCGGTTATGTCTCCCGCCAAGTCCCTTCCGTCTGCCCGTCGCAGGACGCGGGTGTGTTCGGTCTCTTTGCCGTCTTGGTCATTTCAGTGGGACCCGTGGCTCAGGTTGTTCAGTGGCCTCGAGGCGGTCCAGACCTGGGCCCAGAATTCCTGCTGTGGTCCCGCAGCGTGAGCAGGCGGGCCTCTCCCTCACCCCCGCCCTGCTCCCCTTCTCTGTCGATGAACCCCATGGTCCAGAGCGGCGGGGGTCAAAGGCTCCCGCCTGTCTGCAGCAGCTCTTGGTCACGTGATTCCTGTGTGGCATGCTCAGTATTCGTGGGTTTTATGAAAAGTTCCACCAGTACAGCCTGTCTCTTCATTGAAACACACACACACATACACACACACACACCTACAATAGGTCGTGAGAATTTGCTGCTACTCCGTGTAACAAATACCTTCTGGCTTTGTTTCTGACAGTTTTTTGTCTCGCCTCATCTGGCCACTTTCGTTTTGAGTGTGGTGCCTCCAATATCCATCCTTGCGGTGATTTATGGACGATACCTACGGAAACTGACCAAACTCACTCAGGACTCCCTGGCACAAGCCACGCAGGTAGGTACAGGCCTTCCTTGGCACGGTCCCCCTGAGTGAGCTCAGAGCCACCCGTGGGTGGACCCTAGGAAATGTGCTCAGACTTGGCAAAAACTGCTTACTTTTCCTTAACATTAGAACTAAAATACTCTGCCTTCTAGACTAGATCACTACCCGCATGTCAGAATAGATCCAGCTTAACTGAACATTACCTGGACTTCTTCCTTCTTCCCATCACTGTTTCTTGTAGGACAAAAAAGCTAACCATATTTTCCAAACACTTTCTGGGTGCCACTCTGTTCTCCGTTAATTAATAAAGGTAGCTTTGCAATGCTGTCCAGTGTTGTCTTCTTAAAAAATTAAAAATAATTCTTACATTTTCATATTACAGAAACCATCCACATTTCTATTTAAAATATAAAGGGAAAAAATAATATGCATCAGCCTGCCTCTCAATTAACAGTATTAATATCTTGGAGCCTGTCCTTTTTGTAAGTCTTTTTCTCTGCATGAAGCCATATTTCCGTATCTGGCTGTATACCCTCCGGTTTATCTTTCCATCTACCTCTATATAAGCTGTGCATCTGCATAGATCGATGTTTCCAAAAATAAGATTGTTCGGGACTCTCTCCTTTGCAGCCTGTTTTTGACTTAGTCACGTATCCCTGCAACTTCCATTGCTCGTGTCTTAAAAATGAGAGCCGGTTTTCAGTTGTGCCTCCAGAACTCTTGGCGTGTGACCTTGCCCCCCACCCCCAAAATGTCTTTGTTCTCCCAGCTAGCCGAGGAACGCATCGGAAACATCAGAACTGTTCGAGCTTTCGGGAAAGAAATGACTGAAATCGAGAAATACACCAGCAAAGTGGACTTCGTGATGCAGTTAGCAAGGAAAGAGGCGATCGCCCGGGCAGGCTTCTTCGGAGCAGTAAGTGCATCGCTGCGGAAAGGGAAGAAGGCGGATGTTGTCATTGGGAGAGAGTGCTATTCTGTGACTCTGGCCATAGATAGAAAGTGAGTCTATTCTACCTCAGGACTAAGAATTGTCTTCCTTAGAATGTTTTTGTGAGAGAGGAGGAAACCAATAAATGTAAGGAAGGAAAAGACAGTGGGCAGGGGAGACCAGACACCGTGGGATCAGGCACTGGTTCTCAGCGTCACGTGGGCGCTGCTGAGGCAGGCAGACTGTCCGCCCCTTCCAGACCTGTTGAACAGGAAACGCCGCGGTGGGGCCAGCAGTCTGTTTGAACAGGTTCCCCGCGTCTTTTGATGTTTCCAAAAGCATAACCTCAGTGCACTTCGAGAAGGAAGGGCCCCAGACTGATCATAATGAACTAGACAGGACCCTGACCTAGCAGCTCACCATGAAGGCAGATTCGTAACATGTCCAGTCTGGACAGAACTTCACAGGTGAGGGGTAATGGCCGGGACTCAGCAGGTAAGGAACAGGCCCCCAGGAGGCAGCACCCACCCGAGACCCCACATCCGACCGGTCAAGGTGGATCAGAGATCCCGGACTCCAGTCTCCTGGCCCGTCCGTGCCCAGGCGGTCACGTTAGCCTGTGTAAACACACGTGTCAGTTATGTGCTCACTGCCTCCAGTTAGGGAAGGAATCCTTCATGTTATTTTTTTTCTTTTGCAAACCGAGCAGATAGAGTAGAATAGGAACCTGAGGGGTGACTCAGCTGCTAGGTTTCCGTGTTGATGAGATTATTTCTTTGGATATCGCAGTGTTTTTAGAGTACGTCTTCATTTGAAAGTCAGAGGAAAACACAATCGTTTGGAGAAGCCTTGCTGTGACAGTTAAATGAGGAAGGGGTTACAGGCCGTGGTCTTGCTGTCTGCTGTGTGGGTCTCTGCCTCCCACCTGACGTCTGCGTTCCTTCACTCGACAGACCGGGCTCTCTGGGAACCTGATCGTGCTCTCCGTGCTGTACAAGGGCGGGCTGCTGATGGGCAGCGCCCACATGACCGTGGGCGAGCTCTCTTCCTTCCTCATGTACGCTTTCTGGGTTGGATTGAGCATCGGAGGTATATGATCTAACCAGGTGTGGGGAGTTACGCGTGGAAAATCGGGTTCTGGTTTCTGAAAGTAAAACTTCACTCTCCCATTGGTCCATCTCTCAGCAAGTAGCTGCACCTGAAAAAGCTTTGTCCTAGAATCTTATTCCCACTCGACCATGTTTCATCTTCTGAGGACCCCCATACTGCTTTCCACTTCACAGCCCACCTCTTCACATCCTATCCAGTACTTACTACTGGTTGACTTTGGACAATAGCCATCCTGACAGATGTGACGGGATATCACTGTGGTTTTGACTTGCATTTCCCTGATAACGAGTGATCCTGAGCATCTTCTCATGTCTGTTGGCCATCTGTGCGCCTTCTCTGGAGAAATGTTTATTCAAGTCAGAAAGCCCAGAACTAAACCCACAGTCAGATGGTCAGCTAATCTACAGTAAGAGAGACAGGATTATACAAGAGGGAAATGAGTCTCACCAGGAAATGGTGTTGGGAAAGCTGGATAGATATATGCAGGAAAAAATAGGAAACTGGATCACTCTCTTACATAATATAGAAAAATAAGCTCAAAATATATGAAAGACTTAAATACTGGTACACAGAAGACCTAAACCAGAAAACTCCTAGAAGAAGACAGGCAGTAAACTCCCTTTGACATCAGTCTTAGCAATATTTCTTTGGATATGTCTTTCTAGCAAAGGAAACAAAAGGAAAAAGAAACAAATGGGACTACCTCAAATTAAAAACTTTCTGCACAGCGAGGGGAACCACCAATAAGACGAAAAACAACCTACTGGGTGGGACAGAGGTCACTTTAAGAAGAGATTGTTGGGGTATTTAACATTGCCAGGTTCCTGTTCAGTCTGTAGCCTAGTAAAAGTTGAATTTTGAGCGCCTCAAAGGGAGGTTTGGTTTTTATAGATATGAATATTGGGGTACGTTATTTCCCTTCAAGTATAGGCTAAGCATTATATTTTATTTACATTGCTATGTTTCTGGCTCGGCAGAATTCCCTCTGTAGCACTGTGCTTTGAACTCAGTGGTTGATCAGTGCGGCCGTCTGTATTTGTAAATCCCCTGACCAACCACTAAGTCCTTATTAGAAGTCAGGGAAGTCGGAGGAAGAGATGCTGGAGGAGACGAGGGCACGAGACGGAGGGGATTCTGCCCATGGGTTCCCAGGCAGCTGCCTCGGGCCCTTCTTTGAAAGCAGCAGGTTTTGCGTTAAAAGCACCTGTCACTTTGCCCAGCGGGATGGGAGCAGCTGACGGCTGTGGCCGGCACCAGTGACGGATGTAGTGTCTCCCCTCAGGTCTGAGCTCATTCTACTCGGAGCTGATGAAAGGACTGGGCGCCGGGGGCCGCCTCTGGGAGCTGCTGGAGAGGAAGCCGGGGCTGCCTTTCGACGGTGGGTCTGCAGCGCCTTTGCCCTTTCTTGTGGGGGTCACAGGTGTGCTCCCTGCCCTGCCTGCAGGAGGGGCATGAGGGGGGAGGTCAGCAGCGGGGCGGGCGGCCCGGGACATCCCTGGAAGCACAGGGCTGACCACAGGCTGTGCCGCCCACCGCCCACCTCCCCACAGGGGCCCTGTTGCCACAGACAGCAGGTGGCAGCCTCGCGTGCCAGGGGCCAGGGCCCTGCCCGTCCCCCGATCTGTTCTCCTTGGTGGTTGTGATGCGTGTAGGGGGGCAGGAGGAAAGGAGGAGGCGTCATACGTGTAAAAGCCCCACGTGTGTTGGTTTAGGGGACGGCGTGGGGAGTGCTGGTCCTGAGGGTCTTGGCCAGCTGCTTCCCTGGAGGGCAGTCCGCAGGGCTCAGGAAAAGTGACCGTGAGCTGTGCCCGTCCCCAAGCCCTCCGGGGCCTTGCTGGCGCACGCCCAGTATTACCAGTACCCTCCAGGACCGGGGCGGGGGAAGTAGCCCAGGGGGCACCAGGCACCGTGGACGCTGCCCCTCTGCTCCGTGGCTGGGGTGTGTCGTCATTCTCTCAGAACACGGATCGAGAGCAGATCAGACGGACCCGGGAGCAAGGGAGCGACAGAGGCTGGCTCGGGGCAGCGGAGCCCCTCCAGGCCGTGGTCGCTCGGGCAGGTGGTTGGCTGTGAGCGCAGTGACCTGCAGGGGAGCTGGGACGGTACCTTCCACCTCTCGGGGCACGGGGCCTGGGCACTGCCTTGGCTGGGGGGCGTGCGGAGCAGCTAAGGGTAGGCAGAGGCCTCTTCCTGACTTGCCCGGGAGCACCCCCAGGGCTGCTGGGGGCAGCGTGCTAGTCAGACAGGTGGGGCCTGCGTTCACCTGGGACTCCCTCCGCACTGAGTGATGACGCTCCGTCTTCCGTTTCAGAGGGGCTGACCTTGAACGAGAAGAGCTTCCAGGGTGCGCTGGAGTTCAAGAACGTGCACTTCACCTACCCAGCTCGCCCCGAGGTGCCCATCTTCCAGGACTTCAGCCTCTCCATCCCCTCGGGGTCCGTCACGGCGCTGGTGGGCCCCAGTGGGTCCGGCAAATCCACGGTGGTTTCCCTCCTGCTGAGGCTGTACGACCCCCTTTCAGGTGAGCGGGTGGGTCCTCACCTTGGAGGGCAGGGCTGTTCTCACACTTCTCACGCCTGTGCCCGTCTCACGCCTGTGCCCTCTCACGCCTGTGCCCGTCTCACGCCTGTGCCCTGCACGAGGGCTCCATGTGCAAAGAGCTGGGGGGAGAATTTATTTCGACTCAGAATGCTCAGGAGACTTTAAAAAGGCCCAACGGCATCCGGTTTAATTTAAGATCGTCCCGAGGTGGCGTCCGTCGGTCTCTCCTTTTGTGAGACTTTCAACCTTTCAAAAACGGCGCCTGGAGCCTCCCCGCCCGACCTTGTTTACGCGCCTGGGTGGCCCTGACCAGTGGCTTTCCTCCCTCCGCAGGGACCATCAGTCTGGACGGTCGTGACATCCGCCAGCTGAACCCCGTCTGGCTGAGATCCAAGATCGGGACAGTGAGTCAGGTAGGAGGAAGGGGGTATTTTTATTGTGTGTTTCTTTTAAAGCTGCATTTGTCGCTTGCTTTTTGCTTGGTCTTGAGTCTCCGTGAGGAGGATGGCGGTTTTCCAGATGCGCTGGACTGGTCTCACGTGGCAGGTTGCGTCAGCTTGTAAATAGTGCTGCTTCTCAGGGCCTCACGCACTTTAACCCACTGAAGCACTGACCTTTTAAATTTATTTTTTATTTATTTTTAAAATATATTTTCATTGATTTCAGAGAGGAAGGGAAAGGGAGAGAGAGATAGAAACATCCATGATGAGAGGGAACCATTGATCAGCCGCCTCCTGCACGCCTCACACTGGGAATTGAGCCTGCAACCCGGCACGTGCCCTCGACTGGAATCAAACCCGGAACCCTTCAGACCGCAGGATGATGCTCTATCCACTGAGCTGAACCAGCTAGAGCTGGTTTGTGTATATTTCAAAAAGCAATGTCCTCGGTGGAAGGCAGGCCGCCGGAAAATGCAGATGGGCTTGTGGTCTCCCAGGGCCTCACGACTCCCAAGAGGGAGCTTGCATTTATGAAGTGCCTACTGTGTGCCGAGCACCGTGCAGGCGTCTGCCATGGATCTCGCTCCCTGCAGTGGGTGGGAGCTACAGATGATGAGATCAGCCCTGCTGGGCGATTCAGGAGGAATGAGGAGGTGGGGCCAGGAAAGCAGCAGGTGCTCTTTGGGGGCAGTTTAATAGTCTCTCAGATGTAAGTGCTGCACTGAGTGAGCCCCATGGTGTTCACTAGGCGTGTGAAGTCTGTTTTGAACTTTGAGGTCAACATGTTTTATTTCCAATTTGCAGGAACCAGTTTTGTTCTCTTGCTCAATTGCTGAGAACATTGCTTACGGGGCAGAGGACCCTTCTGCGGTGACTCCTGAGCAGGTGGAGAGGGTGGCGGAAGTCGCCAACGCAACTGCTTTCATCCGCAGCTTCCCGCAGGGGTTCAGCACTATGGTCGGAGAAAAGGGGGTTCTTCTCTCAGGTGCCTGTTCTGTTTTTAAATGTATTTCTATTGATGTCTGAGAGGAAGGGGGAGGGACAGAGAGAGAGAAACATCAATGAGGAGAGAGAGTCACTGATCACTGCCTCCTGCACACCCCACCCTGGGGATCGAGCCCGCAACCTGGGCGTGTGCCCTTGACCAGAATCGAACCTGGGACCCTTCAGTCCACAGGCCGACGCTCTATCCACTGAGCCAAACCAGCCAGGGCTAAAAATGGGGGATTCGAGTGGTTTATTCTGTTACCTCCAGTTTCATATGTGCACACAAACCACACATTTTAAGAGAGTGGAAGGGAGAGGGAGAGAAAGAGAAACACTGATGTGAGAGAGACACATCGATCAGTTGCCTCCCACATGCCCCCAAACAGGGCCAGAAGCCTGCAACCGAGGGACGTGCCCTTGACCGGAATCAAACCCGGGACCCTTCCGTCTGCAGGCCGACGCTCTGTCCACTGAGCCACACCGGCTAGGGCTGTGCCAGGCATTTTCTAAACGCATTACACGTATTATCTCATTTAATCTTAAAAACCCTGTGAAGCAGATCCTATCACTGTTCCCTTTTCACTGGGGCACAAGCGAAGCTGTCCAAGCTGGGAAGTGGCAGAGCGGAGTCTGCACCTGCAGGGCAAGGGCCACAGGGAAACCAGGAGCCCAGGGAGCCCCAGGTTCCCGAGCAGAACATGCAGAGGGCGGGAGCGGAGAGCATCTACCTCAGAGAGTCACCCCTGCCCCTTCCTTCCTCACGTTATGCTCCTCTTTCCCCGGCCCAGAGAGGAAACGGGGGGAAATCAATGGAAAAAGTACCCTCGGGTGAGGATTGAAAAAGAAAAGAAAAGAAAAAATGCCGGTGCATTGGGACACCTCCGTGAATGTAGCTAGCACCATATTTGTTACTGTGAATCCTGAGGTTAATGAGGAGCATATTTTAAAACAGGGTCTGTTCTGCCATCTGTCTTAGCGAGGGCTGCCTGGGGGAAGCTACCTTCCAGTTGCCACATGGCTTCTTAAAAAAGTGTGTTTCCAGGAGTTGGTGTTCAGGCTTTGCATTAAAACACCCTTGTCGTTGCCAGGTGGGCAGAAGCAGCGGATCGCCATCGCCCGGGCCCTGCTGAAGGTGAGCCTGCGGCCCCGGTTGTTTGGTTTTTCGTTAGAGACCTTGTAACTTGTAATTTACTGTTTTCCTTCTCCCTGTTCTTCCCTTTTTCCTTGGAGGGGAGGGGAGATACATGACTGACAGTTCTGGTGAGAGATGAGTGAGGCATTCCCTGAGTGCCCGCTGTCCAGACTTAACAAGTATTTGGGGGCTGTGAGGAGGCCAGTCCTGTGCTGGGATTGACAGGGAGAAGCATACAGTGTAACGAATGAAACAGTGATCCCATCAGAATCTAAAACAGGACCAGTCTGCTTGCTCTTATAATCCGTAATCAGCTGCCAAGCTGAGCAATACAGACTTGAAATACTTGTCCAAGACTTCTGAGAGGAAAGGGAACGCATTTTAGCTGGAAGTCAGACATGGGATGTTTTAGGAAGGGATAGTCTTTCCTCTGTTATTTAACGACTCTCCTCCGATGGATAAGTGACTTAAAAAACTGCTTTATTGAAGCATAACTTACACACCAGGAACTTGCATTTTCAATGTACTTCCAGTGACTTACAGTAAATTTACAGTTACTCAGCCATCACACAATCAAAACAAAACAAACATTTCCTTTTTATGTTAGAGCATTTCTGTCCCCCTCAGATAAACCCTTGTACCATGTGTCGCCTTTCCCCATTCCCAGCCTCCGCCTCAGGCGCAGCTCATCTGCCCGCTGTCTAGACTGGCCTCTCTGGTCATCTCAGCTCGATGGAATCGGACAAGAGATGGTCGTTAGCCTCTCTCACTAGCTCACGTCTTCGCGTTTCCTCATGTTGTCGCCTCTGTCAGAACCCTCTTCCTCTCTGTGGCTGAGTGGCACCCTCCGTGGGGCTGGCCCACGGGCTGTGTATCCGTTCACCACTGAGACCTCGGGGCTGTTTGCGGTTTGGGGCCCTTGTGGACAGCGCTGCTGAGAGCGATGGGGCAGAGGTTTGCGTGGACACGGTTTCCTTTCTTGTGATCAACCCCAGGCCACGCTGGATGGAGTGTGTTAGTGCATCAGCTCCCCTTACGTTTTCGTCTTACGTGCTGTTCCCAGCGGAACAGCAGGCAGGGCCTGGAGGGCCTGGCCTCCATGGGACTCACTTCAGAGCCGCCTCGCGCTGCAGTTGATTGGCAGCAGGAAAAGGTGCCCTGAGAGCAGCACCCAGTCCCGGGGCCACTGTGATACGGTCTCAAGTCGCCTCCAACCCCCCTTCTGTGCTTATCACAGTCACCTGCGAGCTGTGGTTCTCTTTGCAGCAGTTTTGTTGTGATATAATCACACACTATACAACTCACCCATGAGAAGTGATAATTCCGTGGGTTTTAGTGTATTTAGTGTTGTGTATCCATCCCAGAAGCAATGTTAGGACCTTGTCATCACCCCTGAAAGAGATGCCGTCCGCTGTCGCAGTCACCCACACCCCCGGCCTTGTGGCCCCAGGGACCCCAGCCCCCAGGGACCACGGACCTGCTCTGTCGCTAGGGATGGGCCTACTCTGGACACTCCCTGTAGAGTCACACATGTAGCGTTTCGCGTCTGACTTACTCACTGAGCAGAAGGTTTTCAATGTCCGTCATGTTGTATCATGTACGGCACTTCATTTATTTGCATTCCTGGGAGTTGGTGTCTTTCTAATAACAGTGTTTTCTTTTTCATGTTTTTCCTTCTTTAGAATCCCAGAATTCTCCTCCTGGATGAAGCCACCAGGTGAGGATCTCTCAGTCCTACATGTGGTTATATAAAGCGAAGGCTTCCTTTTCCAAAGACTCACCTTCCTGTCCTTCACAGCGTTGCCACTGCCAGGGCCCTTTCCCTACTTTAAAGTGACCGAGTCTGTCTGAGTGAGTGACAGGAGGGAGGCAGGGGCAGGCTGAGCCTGGAGGGAGGGTGGTAGCTCCAGGTGAGACACGTGTGTGATGAGTCCCCGATCACTCCCATCAGCTTCTACTTATGTGACAAGTTTTGCAGAAATGTAGAGGGCCCGCTTCCTGGTTAATAGTACCGTTATCCTATCAAACATGTAAAGTAGACCCAAGAAGTTACCATCTAGAATTCAGTGGTTCTCAACCTTCCTAATGCCGCGACCCTTTCATACAGTTCCTCATGTTTGGTGACCCCCAATTTCATTGTGACAAATTGAACATCATTAAAGCATAGTGATTAATCACAAAAACAATGTGTAATTATAGATGTGTTTTCCGATGGTCTTAGGCGACCCCTGTGAAAGGGTCATTCGATCCCCAAAGGGGTCGCGACCCACAGGTTGAGAACCGCTGGTCTAGATCCTCGTGAACATTCACTGCTAGCACAGGGCCGCTGTGTGTGCACAGCGAATGCATGGGCCGCAGTCTGCCTGGCACTGACTCTTTGCTTTCTCGCTGGTTTCCCGCTCAAGTGCGTTGGATGCTGAAAATGAGTATCTGGTGCAGGAAGCTCTGGACCGACTAATGGAAGGAAGGACGGTGCTGATCATTGCCCATCGTCTGTCCACCATCAAGAATGCTAATATGGTGGCTGTTCTCGACCGAGGAAAAATTATCGAATGTGGAAACCATGATGAGCTGCTTGCCAAACCAGACGGGATATACAGAAAATTAATGAACAAACAAAGCTTTGTGTCAGCATAAAGAAGCAATTGCTGGCAAAGTGAATCCGAGAGACTTTAAAACAAAACAGCACTGCAGGGGGGAAATTCCTTTAGAGAGGGTATGGCATCTGTAAATGATACTTCGAGTTATTTGAAATAGGCCTATTTTTCCCAAAGTATATAAACTGTTGTTTTGAGATGAACCTGTTCTCAAAACCTTTACAGTCAGAGTTTTAATAATTATAACTTTCTAAATGTCTATAGCACTGAAGTTATTTTCAGGTTTTATACTTTATTTTATCTTGGAATATTTTCATACAGCATGGCACCTCATTTTTTTTACCTGCTGTTCGAGATGGAAGTTATTGTCAAATGACAACTTTAAAAGGGAATTATAAATTAAAAGGCCTGATTATTTTAGGCCAGTTTGCCAATCACTGTGTAATTCTCTTGATAGTATTCTGCCCTCTTTGGATCGAATGGTACCGGGTTGTGTCACAGAACAGTGGTCGGCAAACTGCGGCTCGCGAGCCACGTGCGGCGCTTTGGCCCCTTGAGTGTGGCCACGAAGTTTCAATCGTACTGTACGAGCGCGCCCACACGTGGTATTTTGTGGAAGAGCCACACTCAAGGGGCCGCAGTTTGCCGACCACTGTCCTAGAAGATGAAAACCTAGCCGTTTATTTTATCCTCATGCTCATGAAGTGAGCCTGCGTGTCATACATACAGAGCTAGTGACTGTCTCCTGGCGAGAAGGGAACGTTCACATTCTCCATCCCCTGCGTCTTCAGAGGCGTGAGAGCTCAGGGGGCTGTGTCCCTCTGGGACGAGGCTGTGTGTGGGTGTGTGTGGTCTTTAACATTTTGGGCACATGAGAGCCTGATGAGTTTGAAAAGGGGAAGAGGCAGCCCCATCTTTGCCCAGGAAAACTTCTATTTCCGCTACTCACATATTTCTCTCTGTGAGCCCCCTGGAAAGTGACGCGTGGGCTGCCAGGCATTATCAAGAAAGATGTCAAAATGAATTTTACATGATGTTGTCTAAGGCATGTTCTGAAAATTGTATTTTAAACATGTATAAGCCCTAACCCAAATTTGACAGCCTTTTCTCAGTTACTTAAATACATTTGAAGTGTCATTTAATGAGGCTAAAATCTGAATAATGTAACTGTAATTTTCAACCTTAAAACATTTGAAGAAAGCTTAGATGTTCTTGCTATTCTACAGAATATCAAGAAACCTTAAGAACTTGTCAGTCTTCTGAAAAGAGGACATTAATAACTCCCTTTCTTGTACTTGTAACTATAGTTTCATCCACCTGAACACCTCAGAATTCCTAAAGCAGTGCTGACAACCACTAGATTTGCCAAATTTCATGTCAGTGCTGATCACTTGCTCTTGCCTCCAGAAAAAGTGCTTTTTTTCTGCATTGGTGACGCCAGACCCAAGAAGTAACTATGTTGAGATAAGTAAAATGGAAGTTTCCTCCTGTACTAAGTAATTGTTAGTTCCCTGGTTAGACTGGAAGAAGAATCCACTATTTCATGATAAGCAGGGAGACAATATAATTCATTCTACATCAGGGAATTCATTCATGAATAAGTGGACTGTGTGTTTTGGATTGGTAAACAGTACACCTGTGACCATCAGTTGAACAGACTTCACTTGTCGTCTCTGCACAGTGTGCCGTGACGGACGGTGTGGTTCAGCAGCTACAGAGCTGGGCGCGAGGGAAGTCTGTGCCACAGAAGGACTTACAAAACCGAACTTGATCATTATGTGTCATTTTCTAATACAAGATGTTCAGTGTGTCTTTAGGTTACATTTATATCGTGGATTAAAATTTATAGTGAACTTTATCTGTGTCTGTCCCTTCTTTTCTGTTTTTGCCATTTTTATTCGATTTATTGGGCTGACTGATAAACAGCATTATATACCAGGTAAGTTTCAAGTGTGGAAGTCTACAATACCCTGAAACCAAGTATGTGCCCTTGATCGGTGATTGAACCTGCAACCCCTCTGGTGTGTGGCCCAGCACTCTAACCACTGAGCACACTGGCCAGAGCTTGATGTTATTATTTTCAAAGAACCAGCTCTTGGTTGCATTCATTTTTCAATTGTATTTTTTTTTCTCTATTTTGTTTAATTCTGCTCTGATTTTTATTATTTCCTTCCTTCTACCCGACTTTGTTCTTTTTCTAGTTACTCAGGGTGAAATGTTAGTTTGTTTAGTTGAGATTTCTCTTGTTCTTGAGGTAAGTCTGTAATGCTGTAAACTTCCTTCTTAGTACCGCTTTTGCTGCCTCTCTCAGATCTTGATGTCATGTTTTCGTTCTCATTTGCTCCTGTTACCTTTCGATCTTCTAGTTCTTCTTCCACCCAGTCTTTGTTTAGCACCATGTTGTTTAATCTCCACATATTTGTGGTTCTTTTCCGCTTTCTTTTTGTAGTTGGTTTTTCCATTTCAAAGCATTGTGGTTGGAAAATATCCTTGGTATGATCTCAGTCTTCTTAGGTATGCGAACCTACTTTTGTGTGTGTTGAGAATGTTCCATGTGCACTAGAGAAGAATTTATATCTTCCCTACTGTTCTGGGATGAAACAGTTGGTAAATATCGATGATGTCCATTTGGTCTAATGCATCACGTAAGGCTAATATTTCCTTATTGATTTTCTATTTGGATGATCTGTACATCACTGTCAGTGGGGTATTCAGGTTCCCTACTATAAATTTATTTTTGTCAGTTTCTCCCTTTAGTTCTGTTAGTGATTGCTTTATGTATTTTGGTGCTCTCTGGTGGGGTGCATATATATTAATAAGTGTTGTGTCTTCATGATGTATTGTCCCCTTTATCACTATGAAATATCCATCTTTGTCTCTTGTTATCGTTTATATCTTGAAATCTATTTGTCTGATATAAATACAGTTATACCTGTTTTTCTCTGAATGCCATTTCCCACCCCTTTGAGTCTGTCTTTGCAGCTAAGATGTGTCTTCTGAAGGCAGTGTATCGTTGTTTTGTTTGCTGAGCCATTCCATTACTCCTCTGTGCCTTTTAATTGATGAGTTCAATCCATTTATATATATATATTTTTTTTTAATTGATTTTAGAGAGGGAGGAAGGAGAGAGAGAAACATCAATGATGAGAATCATGGATCGGCTGCCTCCTGCACGCCCCCTACTGGGGATCAAGCCTGCAACCCAGGCACGTGCCCTTGACTGGAATGGAACCCGGGACCCTTCAGTCCGCAGGCTCTATCCATTGAGCCACACCAGCCAGGGCAGCCCATGTATATTTAGAGTGAATATTGATATATGAAGATTTCCTATAGCCTATAGATTTACCTTTTTTATTTTATCGTTGTCACCCTTACAGATGTTCCCATTTCCCCACCCCCACCCCTTGGCCTACCTCTGCCAAGCCCCCCCCTTCCCTGTGACCTTTGTGTGTGTCTATAGGTCATGCATACCTGCCCTTTGGCTAATCCTTTCACCTTCCGTCCAGTTCCCCTCCCCTCTGCGCTCAATGTCATCATCTCGCGCACTGCCCCCAGCGCCCGGGGCGGGCGGCGCGGCGCTTTGACGTCATCATCCAGCGCCCTCCTCCCCAGCCCCGACCGCCGGCGGGACGCGGCGCTTTGACGTCATCATCCCGCGCCCTCCCCGCCCCGCAGTTCAAGCTCCGCGCGCGCAGCGCAGCCGCCCCACGGCCGGCACCCACGCGCGCTCTGTAGCTTTTCCTTTCCGTCATGTTCTCGGCCGTCTCGTCTCCGCGGACCCCGGGGCCGGGCGCCCGGAGGGGCCCGCCGGGCGGAGTCGGGGCGGGCTCCACGCCGCGGGCGGCGGCCAGGAAGGGCCTGTCCCTGGGGTCCGGGGCCGGCTCCCCCGCGCTCTTCTCCCCGGTCGGCCGGCACAGCTCGCTGAGCTCGCGGTAAGCGGTCGCCCCCGCCTGGGGCCTCCGGGCCTCGGGGGGCTGGTCGGGCCGCGGCCCCAGGGCCTCCGGGGTCGGGAGGGTCGGGGAGGCGGGCGCCCGCTGCCCGGGCAGGTGGCGGAGCAGCGCCGTCATGGACCGGCCCCCGCTGTCGCGCTTTCCGTGGGGTTAGCTCCGTGTGGAGGGAGGGAGGGTGCGTTCGCACCGCCGGCGACCGCCCTCCCTCCCAGCCCTGTGACCTGGTGGGAGCTCTGGCCTCGGGGAAGAGACGGGGACGGTGGCACCTGCGCTGAGCCCGCGCCCCCCCCGTCCCCCTCCCGCCCGGAGGCGTCAGTACGGAACGCGGATCCGGATGGAAAATGCTGGTGGGAGCGAGGCCCCCAGTCCTTGTGTGGCACCTGACATGCTCACCGCCCATCGGGATTGTAAAGGGCTTTTAGCTACACACGTTCCCCTGCAGCTCAATTAATCGGAGAGAGGCTTCCCGTAGGCAGGGAGGTGAGAATAGCTTTGCCCCCAGGTGAAAGCTTGGCGCGCCGGTCCGCACCACGCCCCCTTTCGGGATTAATCTAGGGCTTTAGGAGGAGGCAGCATGTTTCTGAACAGTTTGATGATCCTTTTTTAAAAATGTATTTTTATTGATTTCAGAGAGGAAGGGAGAGAAACATCCATGATGAGAGAGAATCACTGATCGGCTGCCTCCTGCACGCACCTGCACTGGGGATCGAGCCGCCCCCGGGCATGTGCCCTTGACCGGGCATCAAACCCGGGATCCTTCAGCCCGCAGCCCGACGCTCTATCCACGGAGCCACACCGGCCAGGACCGTTGGATGATCCTTTAAAGAAACATCTTTGTTGTACTACCCTGTTGGTCAACAGAGCTCTGGGCCACTCCGTATTTGAGTCTCCTCGCTTAATCTTCATATGATAAGAGATGGAATAACTTTTAAACTGGCGACTCTCCATTATTTTTCTGAATGTTAAAACGAAGGTGAGAAGAAAATAACATTTCTCCGGCTGTATCGGCCGTATTGATTGGCAGGTAGCAGCAGCTACGTGTGACCCATTTAACTTCTTTTTTGTTGTTAATCCTCAGTGGATATTTTTTCCATTGCTTTTTCAGGGAGAGTTTTCAAAGCTAAGGAGGCAGAGTTATAAAGAGTTTAGGTGAATGGCACGTGCATCCAGTAACTAGAGTATAAAAGTGTAAGGCCCAGGTCTCCTAAATCCCGTCAGTCTTTAATGAAAAATACATTTAGTGACACTGAACACATGAGCCAGAGTTGTTTTTCACTGTTCCACTTCCTATTTCCTGTTCATCAAAGCTCTCCTCTTTATTGTGGAAATAGACACGTAAACATCAGGGTGACGGGCGACGGGCAGTGTAAGTTATGGTGAAGGAATGTGGTCTCTCTTGTGTAGGGGAACACCCACACGCATGTTCCCGCATCACTCCATAACCGAGACCATGAACTACGACGTGAAGACGTTCGGATCGTCTCTCCCCGTGAAAGTCATGGAAGTCCTGACGTTGGCTGAAGGTGGGTGTCAGCTTCCGTTCGCCTCTCATTGCAGTTCACAGGAAGCCTCGCTCTAGCCTGGAGCTTGAAATGGGTGCTTTCTCTGCCAGCCCTCCACCTACATGGGCGGACAGGGGCAACCTGTTTGCTTTTTCACTGTAACTGAGAAGTATAATAAATTTAGAAGCAGGATTTCATTCCAGCAGTCAAATCTTTAATGGTTGTAAGTACTGCAAATGCAAAACTCAGTCGAATTTCAAAAGTTAATTGAGGCCCGGCCGGTGTGGCTCACTGGTTGAGCATCGACCTGTGAACCAGGAGGTCATGGTTCAGTTCCCAGTTGTGGGTGCGATCCCCAGTGTGGGGCATGCAGGAGGCAGCTGATCAGTGATTCTCTCTCATCATTGATATTTCTATCTCTCTCTCTCACTCCCTTCCTCTCTAAAATATATATATATATTTTTTTTCTTTTAAAGAATTTAATTCTAGATCTTTGTGATTTTCTGGAATGTTGTTTTTCAAACTATAGGTGGTGACTGAGATCAGTTTAGTGTTTCATAACCAGCATTTTTTAAAAAATGAAATAAAGTAGAATCTAGAATATCAGACTGCATCTCATATGTTAAGTAAGTTTTGTTTTATTTTATTTACATTGTTTATGAATGCATCATGATGTAAAATGTATTCATACTGTGAAGGACAGAAAAGTTTAAAGTAAGTACTCCGTTCTAGAAGACGGAATATTTCTCATCAACTTGAACTTGCACATCTTGACTATAATAGTCTTACAGAAAGTAAGATAAGATACCTGTTTATTGGCCGAAACCGGTTTGGCTCAGTGGATAGAGCGTCAGCCTGTGGACTGAAAGGTCCCAGGTTCGATTCCGGTCAAGGGCATGTACCTGGGTTGCGGGCACATCCCCAGTAGGAGATGTGCAGGAGGCAGCTGATCGATGTTTCTCTCTCATCGATGTTTCTAACTCTCTATCTCTCTCCCTTCCTCTGTGTAAAAAATCAATAAAATATATTAAAAAAAAAAAAAAAGATACCTGTTTATTAACAAACAAAAATTAACAAATGTTAAACCTAGGCCCAACATATACTTTTTGTCTTCAGGTATATTTCTAAAAGTGGTTATCAGAGTAAAATGGATCTCTTGTTTTGGATATTGATAACTCCTGCATGATATACAAGAGTATTTTTTGTTGTAAATTAATCTCTTTAACGAACGGTAATTTTTGGGTGGAGAGTGTGGCAGTGAAGATTTTGGTGTAAGGAAAGGTTAACAGTTGCTCTTTTTCAGACACTAAGATGCACTATGTACCTCATTTTCTTTCCCCTCATATTTTTGTTTAGATGATGATCAGCTGACTGTTCGCATAGATGAAGGTGGATGGGCTTGTCTG